GTTTACTTTTGAGACTTAGTCTTGTTATCGCTATTCCTGATCAGGAAGTTTTGGAGGGATCTTTCTCAATTTTGATTATGTAGGTTCCGTTTGGTTTTTAGTTGTGCATCTTTATACTTTTGAGACTGATCAGATAAACAAAATGGTTGAAAGGCGGCTTTTATCTTTGATTTTGACAGTGAATGATAATGTTAAATAATAATAATAATAATAATTTGAGGTTCTTATATACCGCTTTATCACAACCCAGTTTGTAAGTAGTCTCAAAGCGGTTCACAAATTATTATCCGTGGTTATAGGGCCTTAGCAACCAGCCAATACATTTCTCAACTCCCTGGGGAGCTACGCCGGAGCTGCCATTTCGATGTTAACAGCTAGCATTCAACAATTCTAGCACTGCCCAACCACGTACTCATTTACAGCTGAGTAGACTGGAACAAGTGGGGTAAAGTATCTTGCTCAAAGATGCAACACATTGCCGTGCCGTGGCGCGAACCCGCAACCCTTCGTTCACGAGCCCGGCGTCCTACCACTTGACTGCCGTGCCTCCTAACCGTGTTATCACTATTTCCATGCAGGAAAGTTCTGGAGGGATCTTTTTCAAATTTGATAAGTATGTTCCCTTTGGTCTGTAGTTGTGCATGTTTGCTTCGGAGAGTGATCATAAAAACAATTATTATAAGGATGGCCAAAGGAAGTACTAATGTCAGTAGTAATGAGATCTTTCTGATATTGTAATGATCGGATCTATTTCTCTTACATTTAAAGGACTGTTCTAGTAAATATGTGAATCGGTGCATTAACTGTTTACATGACTTGATAAAACAGATTTACAAGAGAAAAGATCAAACTGACATTAAGTGCTACAAAATTTCAATAGAAGTGACATTCAATTTATTAAAAGTCACACAGATTAAGTATGTTGAAATACTCAGTATCTTCTGAAACACGAAGAGGCCTTGAGTTATTTATAGCCAGTGGCATGTTAGGAATGAATGCTACAAAATTTAAAAAAAATATATTACCTTGACCTATTTTCAAGATCCTAGGAGTCAAATCTGTTTAAAAACTAAAACAGTTGCTTCTGAAGAACCGAAAGTCATATGGCCAATACCTTGGTTGGGTGGTGCAGTGGATACTAGCACACTCACTTAATTTTCACCAAGATGGCTTGGATTCAATTCCCAAATTGGATGTGAAAAGGTATTGGGTCACCTGCCTTACCATGTGGGTTTTCTCTTGGTACTCTGGTTTCATCCCAAATTATAAACACCCTCTACACGCTTCAATCTGCACAGGCCAACAAGAGTGATTAGTACAAGTAGGAACAAGAGGCCCAGAGGGCCTGTATTGCTCACCTGGATATGTTTAAAGTACTTGATACGACGTATAGATATAGCACTCCATGGTAGGTACTGTATGTACATATGAATTTCAGAAAGATCCATGCAGTATTTCTGGAGATATAGTGACAACAGTTAAACTTCAAATATCAAAATACAAGAAGTTTTAATGAATAACCCTAATAGTACTAGGCACTACTAGACAACTTGATGGAGACAAAATTGGGATACAATCCTGTAATCCCTAGGGTAAAAGAAGGATTTCAAAGGTTTTACCTCTATTTTCCCTATTGGGCATTGCCCCTCTGCCCTGGGGGCCACACCCACCATTTAATCAAAATTGTGTGCCCTTGTCCCAAGGATCCTCCAGACCAAATTAGGATAAAATCCCTAAACCTCTATGGAAGAAGAAGGATTTTAAAGGTTAACCTCTATTTCCACTATTGGGCACCACCCCTCTGCCCCTAAGGGGGCCAACACCCACCATTTATGCAAAATTGAGTCCCCTTGACCTAAGGATGCTCCAGACCAAGTTGGGATGAAATCCCTCAGTCTCTATGCTAGAAGAAGTATTTTAAAAGTTTTACCTCTATTTCCCCTATTGGGCTATGCTCCTCTGCCCCAAGGGGGCCCACACCCACCATTTATGTAAAATTGAGTCCCCTTGGCCAAAGGATGCTCCAGACCAAGTTGGGATGATATCCCTCAATCCCTTCGCTAGAAGAAAGATTTTAAATGTTTTACCTCTATTTCCCCTATTAGGCCCCTCTCCTTTGCCCTAAGGGGGGCACACCCACCTTTTATCCAAATAGAGTCCCATTGGTTTAAGGATGCTCAAGACCAAATTGGGATGAAATCACATAATCCCTAAAGTAGAAGAAGGATTTGAAAGGTTTACCTCTATTTTCCCTATTGGGCACCACCCCTCTGCCCCTTAGGGGGCCACACCCACCGTAAATTTAAAATTGAGTCCCTTTGGCCTAAGGATGCTCCAGACCAAGTTGGGATGAAATCCTTTAATCCCTACAGTAGTAGAAGTCTTTAAAATGTTTTACCTCTATTTCCCCTATTAGGCCCCACTCCTCTGATATACATGCCCTTTTCATGAATGAGTCGCTGGTGGGGAACTTTGTCGAATGCCTCCATAAAGACACAATACGGTACATCAATAAAACCTCCTCTATCAAGAATTTCCATCCAGTCATCAATAACTTGGATTAAACTGTGGACCTTCCTTGGAGGAATCCAAATTGTCTCCCGCTGAATAATTTATTGATCTGCATGTAATTAATTATGGTTTCCCTTACAATTGTTTCTAGTACTTTACAACATATACAAGTTAAGCTGATAGGTCTGTAATTACTGGATGACTTGTGGTCTCCCTTTTTGGAAATGGCTGTAACACTAGCTTCCTTCCATTCTTCGGGAACTGATTCAGTTTGTATTGAAGTGTTGAAGATCATGGCCAGTGGAAGACTAATAACAGAGCTCAAATCCTTAACCCCTTCACCACTGTAGACCATAATGGACTCATCCATATAAATGTATGGTAGAGTCTATTAAAGTTACCTATGGGCACTTGCAGATGAAGGTTGTCTGGATCTGGTGACTTTGATGTATTAACTTTTCAAATATTTCGTAGACAATATGGAGGTTTATCACTAAATCATATATAAAGTTTAATCTGTTTTACAGTCGACCCGGGGCAAGTTTTCGTCTGTTTCCTTAGTAAATACTGATGTAAAGTAGTTTGTAAACACTTCAGCTTTTTCTTAATCTGTTGTTGTGACTTGTTTATCTTGTCAGATTATATAATCTGATATTTTTTTTTTCTTTTCTGGTTTTTGATTGGACATAGCTCCAGATTGTTCAGGGTTAGTTTTAACTTCCTGAGCAATTTGTTTTTTGTGATATTTGTAGCCTTCTGGTAAATCTTCACACTTGATTCATGTTCATGGCAATATTCTCGATAGGTTTCATCGCTCCTTGTATTTAGAAATTTGGTCCGCAACTAGTTTCCCTTTTATTTTGGTAATGATTTCCCTGTCAAGGTGTATCACCTGTCTTGTTTTCTGATGTGCATTGCTTGATTTTCTAATAGGGATACAGGTATCAATGGGAGTTTTTAATCAATCTCGAAAATGTATCCACTGCCGGTTCACGTCCCCTGCTTGTGGATGTAGTTCTTCATCCCAATTTATAGACATCATTTCTTTCATTCAATCGTAGTCTCCTTTCTCGTACATTTATCTCTTCTTTTCTGTAGAAATTCATTATAAATCGTATGACAGAGTGGTCACTTTTAGCTATTGGGGCTTGAATTTAGATTGACATTAGTTTATGTCAGTTTGATCCTTTTTCTTGTCTGTTTGATCAAGGCATGTAAACAGTAAATGCACCATTTCATATATTTACAAGTACAATTCTTTAAATGTAAGAGAAATTGATCAAATCATTGCAATATCAGAATGATCTCTTTAGTACTTTCTGTGGCTGTCTTGCTTTTATGATCACTCTCTAAAGTAAACATGCACAACAACAGACCAAGGGGAACCTACATATCAAAATGTGAAATATACCCCAGAACTTCCTGGGAAATAGCGATAACAAACATTCACTGTCAAAATCAAAGATGGCCGACTGACGGCCATTTTGTTTTATCCGATCAGTCTCATAAGTTAACAAGCAAAACAACACCCAAGGGGGACCACTGTATCAGACTTGAGAAAGATCCCTCTTAAACGTTATGAGAAATAGCGATAACAGACATTCACTGTTAAACTCCAAGATGGCCGCCTTTGGGCCGTTTTGTTAATACGATCAGTCTCAAAAGTAAACATGCACAACTACAGACCAAGGTGATGGTGGGCTAAAAGTTAGTCCTTATAAGTAGAACTTATGCTGATTGAATGCTTGTGATGCTTTATCTGCGTTTCTAATCAAATGGAGTGTAATTTTTATATTTGTACCCATCAAAACTGTTTTATCTCCTGAAATTGGCTGATGGACTCATAAACAGTAACAAAATATAGCAGGCTCAATCGTACTCGGACTGTCAAAAAAAAAGGATTTAAGACACCTGAATGGTTTTAAAGTTCTTTTACATTGTTCAGATGTAATTATCCCCTATTTGACTCCAACCCTTCAGCCCAAGCGGTGGTTCAGGATCTTACTTTCTACATTTCAATGCCATCTCATCCGACATAAAAATTCTAACAAATTTTAATTATTTTCTACAGAAAATTGATCAATATATACCAGAGTAAATTTATCCCTACCCATCAGAGAACACTCCTAGGTAATGAAATTCCCTATTTTGATGTAGCACCTTACGGTACATCTTAGTCTGCAGAAGATTTTTAAAGTATTGGTCACTGCTCAATTTGGGGCTGTGCCATTGGGGATGGGGCAAGAAACATTATTCTATAATATTATATCCTTTTCCATCACAGATGATTCTTATTAAGAAATCTGCTTATCAGTTATCTTAATAAAAAGTAAAAATTAATATATAAATAACAACAGTCAAAAAGCAATCTGAATACCTCATTTGATCAGGTGACCTTGAGAGCGAAGGACTACAGACGCCACACCACTGTATGAGCTCATAGGCCCTATATGGCAGGCTAGCCAATAAAATTCATCACAAGAATCAACTTTGTTTTTATACCAGTTTATTTTTTTCTCTCTGCATGTATAAAACTTCAAGATTCCTCAACACATTTGTTTGTTCCTCAAAATAACCGCCTTCAGACACATTCTTACAATCAACCACATTTGGATACATTTTTTAAGCATTGCACTCAGTCTATAAAACAAATGCTTCATTTAGCCACGTTCTAAATTAAAAACAAACATTCCTTCCTATCTCCATACATCACAAATAAAGTATAAACACACCCTTTTCATACACATCAAGCACTGTTTCAATATTCCATCAACCTTAACGACCATATGTTCCCTCACTCAACTGGATTGGTTGGTACTCACCATCATTGGATTAGTCACCAACACAATCCTGAGACACACAGGGAAAAGCCCATCATACTCTATTATCATGCACAGTCCTACCATTGTGTTGGTCAATCTAGTGGCCAATTAATCCTAACATTCAATGTGTTGGTCAAGTTAGGTGACCTTCTAACATCAATTCTTCCTTAGTGACAATTTACTTACAAACCTGTAGCTCATACATTGAAGTTTTTCATTTGACTATAACAAACTAGATGATTCTCGATTTGCAATATTTCTGGAGGTAGAACACCAACAAAAGATAATTTTTGCAAGCTCTCTACAGTCCTGATAAAACCATAATCATATATCAAAACAAAACAGAAAAAACAATCTTATTCTACTTATATTGCTAAGCAACTAAAGAAATCTATGAATCTAGGACAGCAGAGAGCTTTTTAAGACTTAAGTGTGTTTGTTTTTACTCAAATCTGTGCCATTTCCTCCGGAGTGAGGTGTGCAATCACTGAGCTTGTCAGTTTATATACTGTAAATGGACACAGCAGGTAGTACACTTTATAGCTAAAAGCACTTATGTTGGAAAAACTTAATTCAATGATATCTTTTTTATACATTATGTATATTTACAAATTGATTTACAAAGAATAACTACAAATATAAAAATACATTTCACAAAACAGGAAAGGAATAAATTAATGAAAGAGTTCACAACTCACATTTGTTTTCGGTACTGAAAATGAAGGCTGCCTTACATCGGTATAAATCCTAATTTCTTATGAACTTATACAGAATCAGTACGGACTAGTAAAGATAGGTTTGTGATCACTTTGTGATCAAAATATATATTTATCATATTATTAATGACTAAAATACAAAGACTGCTGTCCATGCAACCTTGAATGACCTTGTGAATGTTTACCCGTACAACAGTGAAATAAGGCCATTTTATCACATAATGCTTTGGAGTGAATGGAGTGGATGAAAATCACACCAACAGAATGGGACATTTGTACACATATTGGACACAATATTTTACAAAAAAAGGTGTACTTTAATTATGGACTTTTTGCCTACAGTAACATGTCCAAAACCATAATCTGTTGGTGCAATGATGAAGCTGATCAATGATTACTAACAGACTAGCAGGATGACACAACTGGCCAGCACTTCACAGCAATGACGACCCACTGTAGAGTACAATAGCCTTGATTACTTTACAATCTTGTGCTGTAATTCAGTCTCACAATAATTGTGACATATTTAAGCTGATCAGCGCTGTAGAATAATGACAAGTTTATGGTGCCAGCATGCGTCATAGTCCTGATTCTGTCTTCACTGAAGTATCGACATCAGAGGGAGGCTCAGTTTTCACCACGGACTTGATGATCTCCATAACGCTGTCCCTTTCTGGGACCGACTCCTCCTCGCTGTCCCTTGTTTTGACAGACTCAATCTCTGCTGCTGGTGCTGGTTCTTCCTCATCATCATCTTCAGGAATAAACAGCTTGGTCTTGTTTACCTTGACCTTGCTCATGTCGATGGCAGAGACAGGCAGCTCACCCAGCTCCTGTCTAATCTGTAAGATGATCGGGTTGGACTCCTCCTTGATCTGTTTTACCAGAGGGTTTTCTGTGGGAGCCTTGACGGGAGTAGGTGTTGGCTCCAATATACTGCCCTAAAAATATGTCAACACAAACTTCAATTACATCGTCATTCAATTTCATCATAAATTTCTTCTCAAACCGTTTTGTTAAATATTAAACATGTCTCTAACAGCAAGGTAAAATTATTGTTATTAGTTAACAGTATTTATTACTTTTATAAATATAGCTTTGAAGACTCTTTGTATTTATATAATTAATATTGGGTTTTTTCTTCTTTTTTTCTTGTGATCATTATTCAAACTTGTACATGCACAATATAATTTCAAACTAATCTAGTGATTAAATGACAAAGGTAGACTACTAACCTCTTTCTCATCTTCGTAACAGATTGGATGGTATGTCTGTAAAACAGAAAACAAGAGTTAGTGTCACATGGATAAAGGAGTATACGTAACCTCAAACAATTGGCTCTAACTTCATAAACACTGTCCACCACAAGCCGAGTCTATTTGGTAATCTTAAGTTTAGGTCAGTATTACGTCTTTTACAGACAAATATCCAATCAAATATTTGACAGCTAAAATTCTACTGCAAGTCAATTACAAAAAATATTCACTAAATCTTAAGAACTTAAATTAAATGGGACTTGTATTCATGTTGTTTTGCAATCATAACAATAAAGAAGCAGATATGTGTTTTACAGGCTGAATCAAGGCTCCAACACTTTCAAACTTAATCAAAGTTGTATAAGTTTGTGGGAGGGGAGGCTCACCTTGCTTTCGACACGAATGGCATCCCGCAGGTGCCACTCTTCCTGGTCTTCATTCCAGAACTGCTCAAATGGATCTCCACAAATCTCACACACCTGCAAATATATTTTACTGATAAGTTGAAAATCCTAAATCTGACAATATAATATCTCAATCAAACTGAAATCACAAACCTCATCATATAGATCTTTGCTACCAGAAATCAAATGAATATGGAATTTAAGATTTTTCAAAACTGGAATTTAGAAAAAGAAGGTCTTAGTTTAGACAAAGTTATAAAGATCTTGTTTTATAAATGCATATGTTGGCTTGCACCTTCATATATGGTGAAACATTGCTTTTCCCATTCACAAAATGAACGCGACAGAAGATAATGATATAAATATAGTTTAATTCAACTTACATCTCCCTTGTCCTCCCCCGTTGCTGGAGGACAGTGGATGATGTTAGAGCCCTCTGGGGCATTCACAACCGTATCTTGGGGCACGTTTGCTAAATTTGCTGTGGTAGCTATAGCCAGCATCTTCTCAAATATGGAACTGCGACCTGAATAAAACAAAAAGTTAAACAGCAACTTTTAATAAATTAACTATGTTAAAGGGACAAACAATCTTAAAGGCCATAGGCAGAATCACATGAATGATAGTTTTAACAATAAGTATCTGATTTCAAATATTTGCCAGTTGTTCTTAATATCAATATCATGATTGCTGAATGTTTTAATTTTGGGTATCACACTGGAAACTTACGCCTAGTATCAACCCTGAATGCTTTCATGGAAAAAATTGTGGAAAAATAGTGTATATTTATTAGTATCAACCCTTGCCAGGAACAAAACTCTGGCTTTCCCAGAAACAGATTTTTCAATATTCCTGTAAACAATCTTCATTTCATTAATGACAGCCTTAAAAGGGTGATTCAGCGGTTCACACACTTTTTTCAGTCATCTGTAAAATACATTTGGACAAGAAGATATAATGTATACATAGATAAATACCTTTTCCTTCAGATTCATCTATTTCTTCATATGTTATCCAATCCTACAAGTAAATAAACGAAAATAGAAATATCACAATATGTCAGATATCAACAATACACACAAAATATGGTTCCATTTTCAGAATCAAAGTCAGGATTTACTCATATAGATATGTTATTGTAAGTCATTTTATCTTTAATATGAATGCCATACTTTTTAAAGTTCAATTAAAATAGATAATAACAATGCTCTAAGGGCAACTTCACATGTACGTCGGAGAGTAAACAATCTCCACCTGACTAGACATTTATCGATATGCAGTATGTTAGGTCACCTCATCTATTGGTCAAAGCATACAGAAAGATGATATATAAGAAGTAACCTTTTTCTTTTGTATTTACTTGTATTTCAATACCCTTAAACACATCTGCCTTTAAATAACCTCAAGGACATGTTCTCAACACAAAACTTACCGACACATCATAATACCAGCGTCTGTACTTAGTGACCTTGGCATCATCTTTGTCCCGTCTGTTCTGTCGGAAATGCCAGTCTAAATGTTCCCTGTATCTCTCAGTCTGCTGGGCGGAGAAACGCTGACCACATGCTGAGCACTGGATACCAGAAAACAGGCTCTGTATCACACCCTCATGTAACCTGTTAATACAAAATTGTATGCATAACAAACTTGTCAACCAAACACAACAGCAAAAAATATTTTGTTACATAAATATTCTAAAGTTTGCATATTTTCCTTCAAAATTAAATGTAAAAGTTAATTTCTATAATTCAAACTTGGTTGGTATATACAGTTCAAGTTTAATACAGTGAAACAAAACGTTCTGTTATTCACGATTATACAAAGGTTAACATGCAATAAACAAAGGAGTAACAAAGGAGTAAAACAAAGGAGTAACAAAGGAGTAACATTGCCCTTAACAGCGAATTGCTACACAGAAATACCTTTGATAGGTTTAATATTTAAATGCATCATCTATCCTTTTTTAATATTTCCTCCAACATTAAATCTAGAAGTCTTTAAATTCTGCTGACAAATGTCAAACTTACTGTTTCAGTTTCTCTGTCTTCAGTTCTGTCAGATCGGGTACATCTTTAATCTTGACTTGTTTAAACACCTAGAAAACAAAATTTAACTTCTTAAGATTGTTCTATGTCAAAAGAGATCGTGTAATAGAGAGGATGTCAATTTTTTTTTTTAACAAACGAAAATGAGGAAAATGACTTCTTCTGTCAGTCTTTCATTTCTTATCTACATTCAAGAAGCAGTACTCACCGGTTTGATGAAATCTTTCTCATTTATGCTGCCAGTCTTTGTATTATCATTTTTGCTGGTTTTTATCTCAGGTGGTTTAGGTGTTTCTGTAGTTTCGGTGTTGTCGTTTTTCTCAGTGTCCTTGGGTGGGATAATACCAGTAGCCATTAGCCGCTGAAGCAGCGAGCTTACATTCATCAGAGGATTTGGTGCTTGGACTATTAAGCGAAACAAATAAAAAAAATAAAAAATCATCAATCATCAAGTCAAGAAAATATAGAAAACTGTTTTCTTTCCTGCCAATTATCAAGTAATAAAGACATAATTGTATCAAAACCAATCACCTTTCAAATTGAGATATGTAAAAGATTAACCAAAGTGACTTTATGACATGGTGTCCGAGTAATAAAGTCCACAAAATGCCATTTCTATTTAAATTCAGTTGAGCAGTTTTGTTCATCACAAATTTCTATGATATTGGTCCAACCTTTCCCAGATTCTATTCTTATTCAGAACAAAAATGTGGCAAAAAGTGATTGTGATAATTTCTCCACAGCTGTTCCTATGCTCAAACTTGGATGCTGTGCTGACTTCCTTATGATGCGATGAATTAATTCAAATTTCACATTTCTTCCACATTGTGGAGGCCCATTGAGAAAAACAACTTATAACTTAAAATATGAAGACATGTTTATCTTTTTGACTGTGTTACACGATATCAGCAAGTTACAAGAAAGTAAGGTTAAGCTCAGAAATCATGCTGTGCATGAGAATGATCTCTGCAATTAATAAATAGGCCCATGTTTTTTGTTTGTCTTGCAGGATCAACATTTTTTTTTCGTCTTGCAGGATCAATATTTCAATTATAAGACACTGTGTCCTTTCACTTAGATACCTCTCCAGTCATTTAAGGAGAATGCTTTTCTTGGGAAAGTAACAGAAGTCCTTTTGTATTATCTCAAATAAGATGGAAAAGAGAGCTGACTGGTGACTTCACTTACCTGGTGCCTGACCAGGGAAAACATTGGTCATTGCTCCAGACACAGCAGGCATCATACCTACATCAAATAAAACTATTTATACACACAGTTAACACAAAGAGCCCTTACTGGGGGAAATAAGATAATTAATGTGCAATATTCACTTGATTTTTTCATGAGTCTACAAAATGTATTTGATTTCATTATTCTTATTGATTTTTTATAGGTTTTTTTTAAGTCTTTTGTTAAGTATTATTATGTAAAACTGTTCAATACAATAGTAACACCTCTTGTCATATTGCACATTGAGGGTAAATCTTCTGTTCCTAAATAGAATGTCAATTTCTTCAAAGTTGATACTGATGCAGATTCCCTTAGAGGGAATATTACTATATTAAACTGATAAGGGGCCCTGGTTGTGGAGTTATGTGAAACGGAAAATTGAAATGGTCAATAACATTTGAGAAATATTAATAGATACAGTGTATCAGAACCAGCCCAATGAAATTAACGCAAGTTGGAAAATTGTCAGGAGTATGGTTTTGTGTTCTTTATCACTGCTTACCTGGCATTTGTGTAGGAAGCATGGGGTTCTGTGGCGGCATCATGCCACTGTATGTTGGTTGCCCTGGCTGGGACATCACTGGTTGCGATTGGATGGAGTTCATCATCATCTGTCCTGGCGGCATCATTCCTTGCATCATTGGCTGTTGGTCCATAGGGCCGCCCATCATCAGCGCTGGTGGCCCTTGTTGTCCAGGCCCAGAAGGCTGCAGGTGTTGAGGAAGGCCATCCGGTCTAAGATCTTGCACTGCCTTAGGGGGCCCATATCGGGTTGGTGCAGATTCAGGTTCTTCAATAATTTCATTTAAAATCTTAACTTCTGGTGGAGGCCCTTCTAATCTTACATGTATAACACGGTTGCCCAAGGAGATCTCTTTGGCTGGTCCGCCAAATTTCACCTCAAACCACTTTCCATCTAATATCACTTCATGAGCAGGCCCTCCAAATGCCAGGTAATGCGGTCTGTTGTTGATGCGTATTTTAACACAGTCATCAACAGGTACAACATAATTGATATTGTCCACAATGATCTCCCTAGGAGGCCCATCAAAGCGTATTCCCCTCTTCTTGTTGTTGATCACAACACAGGGAATAGCCCTGTCTAGCTTCAGTTCACTCATCGTGCCATCAATTAAGATCTTGCGAGGCGGAGGATCAAATCTGAACTCACAGCGGTTATTGTCAATAAAGACATATCTAGGCGGTCCTCCTACTACTCCCATTTCTTTATTGTCTACTAGGATCATAAGATCACGCCCATCAATACGCATTGTGTGCTCCTTGTCCTTAATACTGAGAATTTTAGGTGGTGCATCAACACGCAGCTCCCTCATAATGCCATCAATCCAGATAAAGCGGGGCAGGCCATGATAGAATATCTTGTGATTCAAGCGACCAAGTTTAACGTCTCTGACCATATCCCCAAACCTGTATACGATAACACCATCAACACGTATTGCCCGCTCATTTGGATCAGCGAAAACTTCAATAGTGCGTCCCGCAACCCTAATCTTCCTTGCTGGTTGACCCACAGCAATTCCATATGGTCGACCATCAATCACAAACTCCTCATTCTCCTCAGGTCCCTTATAGCCTACAATCCTCTTCCACCTGGGATCAGAGGACTGTTGTTGCTTTATGAATGGTTGCTGGCGAGGTGGACCCATCTGTGGCCCTCTGTCATTGTAAGGCCCATTCATGCTATGTGGCCCATCTGGTGGACCTCTTTCATCAGGGTTATACCTAGGTGGACGGTCATTGTAGCGTCCTGGAGGACCATCCTCCCTGAAGGCTGGATCATCTTTCCAGTGGTTCGGATTGTGCCATCCCCTGCCTTTATTTTCATTATAATTCCAATCCCGCTTATGATCACGGCCTGGTCCAGCCCTCAGGCGGTCATCTGGTCCCTGCCAGTCCCTAGGAGGTCTGTTGGTGTCCATTGGAGCCTCACGTCGTCTATCATAATCCCTTGGAGGTCCAAGTCTATTGTCAAAGTCCCTGTTGGGCCCATCCATATTATGAGGTGGTCTACGCCTATCATCAAAGCCATGATCACGACCGTGGCGACTATCTATATCTCTGTTATTTCTATCTCGGAGAGGACCAGAATGATCTAAAGGAGGTGTTCGTCTCCTCTCCAAATCTGGCTCAGGTCCATATCTGTCATCAAAGTCCTTGAGAGGTCCTTCTCTGTTTCCATGGGTTCTCTGGATATCTGGTCGCCTATCATAAGACCTGCCCTGGGGTGGGTCTTTGAGTGGCGACCTATACTGCCAAGTATCTCTGCCACGGCGGTCTGTGTCAAGGACAGGACTGTCTGGCCCCCGTCTATCATTGGGGTGATTGAGTCGGTTTTGCTGGCGTTGTACATTATCTAGCTTGGATAGCTGGTGAAGCAACTCTTGATGCATATCATGACTTAATTCCCCGGACCTCCGACGATGCTCAATCTGTTCAAGAATCTCTTCTCGATGGTCGAGTTGCAGGGCTGCAGGTATATGGACAGGTTTGGCAGAATTTCGGCTGTCGTAATCTCTTGCATCCTGGTCCAATGATTTGTGAGTAAAGGATGACCGTAGATCTATGTCCTGTGGAACTCCTTTATATCTGTGGTCCACATCCTTCACAGATTCAGATTCTGAGCTTGCTCTTCGGTGGTCCACATCATGGGCAGCTATTTCACGCTCTTTTTCCAGATCAAGCTCATATTTAAAGTCACCAGGATGGTTTTCCCGAAATTTCATCCACTTATCATGAAAGGGACTTTTCATGGGAGGACCAGGACCATCCCTTTGGCTTCTGTAGTCTTGGTCTTCAGACCCAAACAAAGAACTGAAAAACAAGCAAATATTACAATATTATTATTCTTTTGTGTATGAACATCACCATTTTCATAATCCAACATAATTGATTGCAATAACACTGTAAATCAATTTACTTGCCTTACCTCAAACCACTACCTTGAACACCTGTGGATATAGCAATGCCATGCCCACAAATTTCAAAGATTTCCTTTCCAGTAATCAATATTTTAAATTTCTAACGAACACTTTCATGAATACATATATCAAATATTTTATTACCATCTTCAGGTCACCATTCATTTGTTCATAGTATCCTATTTCAGTTATATCCCTGGGTTACCATTTATTACTTTATGAAGAGGCAAAGCATTAATCTGTTAGACTATGTTAATTACATGCAAGGCATAACAAGTAATCTCATTTACTACTTCCAATTTCTATTACAATTATGCCTGAATAACCATTGAACTTTTGTCCAAACTTTGGAGCAGGATCCTAGCATCAATGTTTATACAGTACAAACCTGATATCCTCGTCCATGACTTTAGCAGTACTTTGATCTGGCTCCTCTTCCAGGCGAGGTTTCTTACTTGAACTTTGCCCCTCCTCTGTCACATCACTCTCCTCAATTTTTCTCGAGTGTTCACGCTTCAGGCTCTCTTGAGCTTGAGGGTGCACCTGTCTATCATCAACGTCCATGTCCTCAACTGGGGCCACTTTTGGCATGTCCTGTTCTGGAGGTTCCACAGCCATTTCATCCACCTTTTCAGTTTTTATCTCCACAGCCTTTTCTTCGTTGGACAAAACGTTATCATCTGTATTCAACTCCACAGGCTCTTGCTTAACTATCACATTTTCACATTTTTCAGTCTCTAATGCCATCTTTCCTTTTTCTTCTTTCACTGTCTTTTTACTGTTTTTAACAGGAGATGATTTTTTACTTTTGCTTTCTTCCTTTGTAGATTTTTTTTCTGTTTTCTCTGATTTTTCAGTTTTCTCCTTTGGTTTAGTTTTTGACTTTCTTTCCTCAGGAGATTTTGATTTCACTGGTGACCTAGATCTTGTTCTAGCTTTCGAACTTCGTGTAGAGCGTGTATTTTCACGTCTCCGGTCATCAGAGTCATCACTGCGATTACTCTTCCTGCTGTCTTCATCAGAATCTCTACTGCTCCTCTTATGTCGTGTATCATCCTTGTCACTTTTTTTAGACTTTGATTCACTTTTTGAGTCACTTCTTGTTTTTGACTTTTCCTCTTTTGAACTGCTAGCACTACTGTAGCTTGTTCTAGGACTTTCTCGCCGACTTGAAGATGACTTCCTGTCTTTGTTATCTTTATCTTTTTGATCACGATCTTTCTCCACAGACAAGCGTTTTGAGTCAGAATGTCTACTACTTTTAGTACTACTGCTGGTATCACGTTTATCGTTGTGTTTTCGGTCAGCACGTATGTCCCGGCTTGACCTAGAACTCTCCTTCACATCCTTGGACTTGTGGTCTGTACTGGATTTCTGAGAGGCTTGTTGTGATGAAGAGCTCTTGCTCACTTTGCCATTAGATTTGTCATGATTTGATTTTTGGTGACCAAATTTAGCAACCTGAGTGTCCTTGTTTGGGATGGCCTGATTGTTGATATTGACCACAGGCGGTGGAGGGATAGACATACCCATCTGAGCTGTTGGCATGGGAAAGGGAAGCATGCCTGGCAGCACTATGGGTCGTCCTAGGTTTGTCTGTGGCGGCATATTCATAACTGGTGGCATGTATCCTGGAATCATTCCAGGTGGCATCATACCAGCAGGCGCCATCATGCTGGGCAAGGGAGGTGGCGGATATGCCATCAGAGAAGTAGGTACTATTGAAGTGGGTACTGAAACAACTTCGGAATTCTGAACAACAGCAGGGGTACTGTCTGACTGAGAAACTTCGGAGGTTTTAGAATCAGCAACACCCTTGCCTTTGAGGCGAGGGTCTCTGCCGGCAGAGCGGGGATCCCTGGACGCCAGACGTGGGTCCCTAGTGGTTGGACGACTTGGGGCACTTGTCCCAAGGGGTTTGGTTGTCTCAAGTGTAGACTTTGGGGTGGGATGGATTGGTGGGTTCAAATTATCAACTGGATCCATGGTGTCTGCAGCCTCCAGATGCTTCGATTTACCAGCATTGAGCTGTGAAAAAAATATTATGTGTCAAAAAAACTAAATGTAAGCTATATTTCATAAATTTAATTGCTTTTTCCAGGTACTAACTACAAAGCATTCAATTATAGACAGTTATTAATTTTCAATCATTTCATGACCAGTGAACAATTCTAACCATACATTTAATCTACCGTATTATAATATGGACATTGTTGCGGTCTAGTTTCTCAGCCTGTCTACATATAGTAAATTTATCTGTACACTGAACATGTGTCATATAGGGTATCAGTTATCTTGACAATCAATGAGGTAGAATGTTTTTGCTTACAACTTTCCCATTATGTTACTTTTGTGCCTACCTGTGAGCCTACCTGTTTTTGCTGATCAAGTTTGGCCTTTGTCTCCTTCAGCTCTAGCTCCAGACGCTGCTGTTGAAGCTTGAGCAGCTCCTGTTGCTTAGCTATTAGTTGTTGTCGCATCAGAGCTTCTTGTTCCTCAGTTACCGTGTCATGGATGATTAAATCATCGTCCTCCAAGATCTCCTCTTCTTCTTTCTGTTGCTGAAATCACAATTTAATATTTTATTGTAATTTCTTTCATGTGCAAAAAAAGTTCAAATCCTTTTATTCAGAGGTAAAAATAAACACTTAATCTGTCTTCCAATAAGGATTCAGCTCTATAATTTATAATAGCATTAAAATCCTTTTGTACTGGCTAAAAGATGAACACGTTTTAACATCTGAATATCTCCGATTCTCAGATATTTTTCTCCCAAAATCAATATTAATAGTTATTTGTCAGTGTAATATGAAATTCATGTCCTAGGGCATTTTTAGTTAACTGGTGTTAAATTATGATACATTTTTAGTTTTAACTCATTCACCCCTGAAGTTTCATAATGAACCATTCCAACCTTTGAATTGGAAGGGTTCAAATGTGTCGACAGGGTTGAATTTGTTAAATGGTACTTTCCCTACAACCACACACTCATTGTACAAGCATGCAATTTTCATCTCTGCAACAGCTCCACAATGATTTTATTATGGTCCTCTTTATATATTACAAAACTTCCATGTCTTTATCTGTTTTATTGCTAGTTTATATAAGCTGCATCAGTACACATGTACTTTTAATTTTGCTCAGTGTAAATGTGCTTCTGGGGAATATATTTAAACCATCAAATTTAATGATTAATCCTCCTTTCTCCTGCAAAAAAACTCTGCAACTCCTGACTCATCTACAGTAGACATATGCTCCCAACCCTTTCAGTTTAAATTTCCAAATGATCAATGCTTTAGTACGAAGCCAATGCTTTCTAGAATGTTGTCTGCTTATTTCTATATTAAAACATTTGTGTTAATTGCCCACATTCGTTTTCAAAGTGCTTCAGCTTTTCAGGAGGATTGTTTCTTTCAAAGAAAATCATCAATCAAAGAGTCTGTCTGGAAACTGAATGTTTTCAACTTTTTTCTTTTCAAACGTTGGCTTACATCAACAATTTTTCTTATGCAATGCAAATAATTAGCTTTTTATTTGAACCAGTCTTTATGGCAATATTTGGAGATAAAAATTATCTGGTGATTTATGATTATGCAAACTTTTTCTCCTTTGTGCATTCAGTTCAAATTTATCATTCTTGTGTAGTGGATCAGTACCTAGCTTTCATTCAGGTATTTACAACATAGTGTGTATACCTACATGAAACAACAACATCAAAATCCACCAATCCTACCTTTGCAGCCAGGAACTTTGGGTTGACATGGATGCTGGACTCGACAGGGGGCTGGGCAGTGACTGGCCAGGCTGGGTCCACCAGATTCACTCGTACATCTACTGCATATAGTTTCCTATTTGGAAATATTTCGTTCCAGGTCTGTCGTACTTTGAACATACATTGTCTGGTTTTCTCATCCACCTAGCGAAGGCAACCAGAGCACCAGATAGCGTTATTATAGATAACAATGCAATTAACAGTTTCTGCATACCCCTTTAGCAGTCATCCTGTATAGAGTTGACATCAATGTTTAACGAAATTCAAAATGTGCAGACTAGGCATGCAGTTTTTTTCTTATTTATCCCTCCACCCCCAAATCATTTTTTTGCTTTTCAGTCAAAAAAGGTATTTTTTACTATCCTTTTGTAAATAATATCACACAGCTCTGCCAACTGAATAGTTTATCCTTTCATTGTACATTGAGGATGTTGCTCTCCATAAAATGCTAAATTGAACACAAAACTGACTTAACCTCTAAATTGATTGGTTTCCACTTTCAGCTTATTGTAAGTTGTGAATATTACAGCCTTAAAGGTAAGGCAGTAATGGACATTTTAGTCCTAAAATAATGTCTCTTTCTAATTTAAATGATTCAATATTCAAACCATAACATAAAGTATTCGGGTGTAATGGTTTTACACCAGCACAATAACATTCCAATCCATGTCCAGATCCTAGTAGTGAAAAATTCTAATCTTGAAATATAAATTGTGTTGGTCCTTTATTTTTCGATGTTTTAACACAATTTATCAACATTCAGATGTGTTGCCAACTAGCTGCATTATGAAATGCAGGTCTTGTTCTGATCAAGCAACAGTACAGAGCTGAAACCACATTTTAGTAGCTATATTCGACTCAATGAATTTACTTTCCAACATATATTCTACTAATACCATGTATTATACAAGTTTGAAATTACCAATAGCAACAGGTTACAGGTTATCATAAAACTTGTGCTGAAAGCTCATTAACTGTTCGGCACTAAGTAGTTTTAGACCGACTTTTGTGGTATATACTGCAAAATCACAATAGGACCCTGGAATTATGTTTAAAGATGCTAAATCTTCCAAGCAAGGGTGCTGATAGAATATAAACTGAACTTAACCAAGCATTGCAAGTGATACAAATTCCCTCACAAACACTAGTCAGTAATGAGAGAACACAAACCTTAAGCAACTGTGCCCAAGTCATAGATCTCTCCAACAACGTTATTTTCAGATGATGAATGTCATTCTATTTAAGAAATGCAGATGTAGATGAGCTTTTTCTAGTGGAGGGTTTTTGAAAGACTTTCTTTATCAGTAACCCCTTGGCCTTGACATCAACTAAATGTGTACCAAGTTTGATCAAAACACAGAAATGAAGCTGTTACTGGGATGAGAAAGATTGGCTGTAAATAGAAATCTTAACATTGAATTTTGCACCTTTGAATGCCAACTTTCCCATGAATATTCATACTGAACTATGAAAGAAGTTTAATAAAAATCCATTAAAAATAATCCAACTAACACAAAATCTCATACTTGACCAATAATATGAAGTTTCATCAAAATCTGTTCAGAAATGTAGCCACTTTATGCAATGAAAAAGATTTTTTTGGAAAAAGGTAACGATGACCTTGGCATCCTGAAAAGTGAATTTGGCATTCTCATACTCGACTAACACATGAAATTTGATCAAAATCTGTGAACATATTGGCAAATCTATAAAGTCCTTGAGGACTAGACCCAATTTGTTTGTGCAATTGGATGATTAAGTATTGCATACAAAGTCAGGAACTAAATACATACTGTACTGCAATTTCATGAATTTCAGCCCTCTGGAAGTATATCAAGGGCATGTGATGTAAACTATAACCGACTCTCGAACATTAAGTTTATTTATTAGTGCATTTTGTGACATACTATAACACCACAAGTGTTTTGTTTGTATTAATTGCAGAGATCTATTGTATTGCTATGACCTACATTATTTGTTGTATTGTGCAAGACCTAGTGTTGTGTTATAGGTCTAATCACCAACTATTTTGCATGAACAAAAAAAATCTATTTAAGTCTAAGTAAAGACCTGAAGAGTTATGTAATATGGATACAAACTGCAGAGGAGTGTCGTGTTTTAAGGCAATGACCAGGTTAGTAGAATGTACAAGTAAAACCTGATGTGTTAAGCTGTAAGGCCATGAACCGAACAGCATTGTACAAGTCAAGATCTGGTGTGTTCATGACATGGACAGAAGGGCGTTGATATTTTAGTCATACATCTGAAGTCTTCGAACATAAAGAATGTTGTGCTGTAGGCATACTGTCATGAACTTAAGTAAATATCTGAAGTCTTTCTATTTTTGGTCGTGATTTGAGTTTTGTCATAAGGACATTAAGCATTTTGTTGTAAAGTGTATATTGCTTCAGCAAGGTAATTACCAGAAAATTCTTGCACTAAAAATAGTGTTGTATGGCTGTGTACTGTAAAATGGTGTATATCGAGTCAATATCTCAAGTATCCGGGGCCTTGCTCCAAATTGTGTATGTAATTATTAAAGGTCATGAACTGAAGAATGGTATCCATTTATAGGTCATGTGCTATGGGGGGCTTTTTGAGTGGTTAATATGATTGTGTTTAGATGTCTTTCAAAAGCTTCAAAAATGAATAGGAGTAGATGATGTGAAAAAAAGACAGATTTCACGATTTGAAACTCATGAGGAAGGCTGCAAGAAGGAACATTGTACAGATATGTTTACTACAATATAATATACCACCAGTGATCTAAAACTTGTATCCCCTCTGGTCATTTCTTCTCCCAAGGAAATGTCTTCCTTATAGACCAGAATCAAAACATTGCAAAGTACACTGGTCAACAAATTGAATATCCGCATGAGAAAAAAGTTCCACAGCTTGCTCTTGGATGTTAGTAATGAAGCTCCTTGAAAATAATGCATCCTTTGAAATTTTAGTCAGACGGCTTAATACTTCACGAACTCAAAGCATTAACTTCTGTTATATTTTGGCATTAGAGATCCTTTGTATGAACCATCCACCTTCTGCGTTTTTAAGTTCAGGGTATATGGTTTTCATATTATCGTCAGGATTCATAGCCTTTAACAGTAAGTCCAGGGTACCATATATAAGGTATTTATTTGTGATCAACATTTCCTTGATTTGTTCAGAAATCAGATTACCAATTTTGAATCTTCAGGTTTTATAATTACTTGTCCATGATATTGCACAAGAGTGTAGATGATCAAAAGTTCAGTCTAACTTGCACTATTTTATCATCTTGCAAAAGTAAGGGAAATGCAAATACTCACAGAAAATACCTTATATACGGTAAAACAAAGTGAACAAAAATGCTCACAAGAAAAGTGATAATTTAATATATTTTCCGGACATGTATCACTTCCCATCTTCTGGAAATACACTAAGTTCAGAAAATGTGTTCTGGAGATCCTGTACATGTAAATTATAATAGATGTGAATTTTACTCTGTGAAACACAAATTTAGTACAGTGTGCTGTTTTGCAAGGATAATATCAAATTTACCAACCGACAGTGGACATCCATTTATCTATTTTTTATTTTATCAATTAAACTTCAATAAAAATTAACTCCTTTACTAATTCCATATCAGTCTCAGATGAAGTTGTATATCAAACAATAAATTAAATTGTTAAATTTATTCCATATCAACATTATCTTTCACAAAGTCAATTAATTACGAAGTTGACAGACGTACTAGCTCCATCGTCACTTTGAAATGTGAGGAAGGGACAATGACCGCGAAACACATGTTCAACCATGTTATTTTTTTTTTAATTCTGCAGGAGTATTCCAAGCATCAGTCTAATTTATTTTCAACTTGAAGTCATATTATACTTGGAGGGCTTGCTCAATAATAATTATCATTACCATTTTTTTAAGAATAACAAATGCAAAGCAGGTTTCCTTTATAAATGAGATCTCCCTTTACTTTGTACAGCAGTGTTTTCCCGTCCTAGTTCTCAATATCATCTTCTGTGACCAGGAACATGTTGTAACCATTATCGATAATATTAACGTTGACTTGATGATAGATATGCAAAATACCAACTGGGGACTTGCTCATCACTATATCAGTTCTTTCGGTATTAAACAGCTCTTACCCAGATTGCTTATTAATAATGTGTATAACATTAATTTTGAGATCAATAAGTTCAGGATACAATTAAAAGCTTCATCTGCAAATCTTGGGTATAATGAATGGAAGTGTAAGATGATTTTTTTTTTTATCAAAATAACATTATAAGATTGTTTGTCAAAGCAAACATTTTCCCAGCAGTCAGCAGAATAGCGGCAAATCATCCGAACAAAGTCTTAAACGTTGTTTTTGTAAATTGCTAGATTTTATATATAAGTAACATATTTATAAATCCATCCATGGCTGTATAGTTTATTCTGGTTTTTAATTAAGAAATCCTTTTTTTAAACTACAAGTAGAATATTCTACTCTCCAATATTAAACAAATATGAGAAACACAAACAGAAGTTGCAGGTTTGCAATCTCTTTTCAACAATCATTAATTACACATCTTATTACAGCAAACTTTAAGCAGCTCACAGAAAATGTTTCACAATGTCCATGGATATTCCTTCCCCCCCNTAGCAACTGCTATGACTACACTCCTACATACTGATAGATTATCCATTATTTTATTCTCTCAAGATGCCAAAGTAATTTATAGCAATGGTGCAACATGGTATAGCATACATGCTCATGATGTAGTCATGCTAGATTTTTGTAACTACTTGCTGTCTAAACTGTTTCTGCTGTATACCTTGCTTGCAAAATTAATTTACAAAGCTGAATTTATTTTATGTTTATAACTTTTATTTTATTTTCAGCAGAACAATTTCTTTTCTCATACCATTCAATATAAATTATTAACATGTAAAATGTAAAAGGATCTAATAAACTTGCAACCTTATCTTCATTCCAGTCAAATGCATTAACTGCTAGACTTAGTTACACTTCCACACCCCTAATCGATCAAGTTAAGTCACTGAAATAGCCTCTTCACTTATACACGTACCATTATTGTTCTTCACTTCACATCATACCATACATCAGTCACGAAAACAAGATATCACACAATCTCTACTACACTGGGATCATTAATACCAATCAACAAGTAACACCTCATTTTCGAAAGATTTCAGCACAAGATACTGCTTACATGAATGGTGAATGGAACTTAACTTAGTTAATTGATGACCATATTTGAAAGGTACACAAAAAGGTAAGCAATGGTAACAAGATTCTTAGATATAATTAAAATGGTTAATAGGATGGTAAGTCTTCATAGCACACCACAAAGATGTAAGGTAGATTGTTGCTATAAATATGTAAAGAGATTTGTTGGGCAGAATATTCTCATCACATCTATTAACTGAAAGTTTCAATCTATTCACTCATTCTTTTCCAGATTCATTAATACACTCTGGCACTAAGACTAAATAATTAATCGACATACACAACCATCTATACAAGTTGTCTATGATACGGAAGACACTGGATGCTAACCTTTTCAAACATGCCACAGAACACTGAGACAATGTTGTGAGAGAAAAGACTTGGGTACGTTGTCTTGGGCAAATTCTTGACAATGGAGTCTATTAGATACAGTGAAGGCAGCTTCTTCTTTTCACTCGCCTGTTAATACAAAAAAGAAACATGAAGAATAGCTGACAACCGTTGATCATTTCCCCATATGTGAACAGGCCAGGCCATGAATATCTGAAACGAGAAAACACATCCAGTACACAAATTTAACAACAAACAATACCCTGGAATCAGCATTCCCATTTCGTAAGTGTTGGCGAGTACATGTAGAAAATTCTTAAAATGGTACATCCTTATTGAAGGCCATCAGATATATTGATGCAGATTGTACAAGACCAAGATTTGAAATTATCTGCTTTATAAATTGATCCATTTGAAATCAGTATTCCTCATACTTACCAAAGCTTGAACACAACACTTCTCACTATAGGTACTACCGATGACTTTTATTATTATGGAATTGCATATATATATATATGCGACACCCTTCTCAAAAACTAATTACTTCAAAAATTGGGATATTTAACTTTGGCACATTCCCGATCAATTTGGAAAAGACAAGTGATGTATTCTCCCCCCCCCCCCAAATGAATTGAAAGAAAGTATCGGTACAACCAACACATATTAAGAGAAAACCAATCACCTAAAAATAATTATAATGACCTTTGTCAAATACCGGTATATTTGACAAAATCGTCTCGAATTTGCAGATATAGGATCCTTTGATAGTACCGGTATGTACACTTGTTTAGCCTGAACAAATCTGAACTAGTAAATCCAATGGATTATCTATCAACACTTGGTATATAATTCCAGTCATACATACACAGGACAGTCAGGTCATGTCTAGCAATGTTTATTCTGAATGCTGTTATCAAGAGATCAATCCAGACTCGTGTCTTACAGTTTTTATTTCCTCTCAAAATCTTTTTTTTTTTAAATATATCAATTACGTTTTTCTCCCCCACCCCCAAACAGTAGCCAAATCTTATTCTATTGTCCCCATATATACTAGTTGATCTCCTGATCATATTTCACAACATAGCAGGGATGTACAATTACATTGTTGCACAATTTACTAAATTTGTTCAGACAATTTTATTATTCAAAAGCTCTTGCATAAAATTTACAAATCCAGAATGAGAAGCAAATGAAATTTCACATCCCTGCTTTAATTGTTTTTGTCATGTCTGTTCATTTCATTGTTAATGGTCAACCTGTCTTGTAAGGTCAACATGTCTAAAGTCTGCTGTACACACTGGATACACAAGATGTTCAATTTTGTATGTCCATCAAGCATTTCATTTATTTCAGCACAATATCTCGGCACAAAAACTTAATTTCATTTAACTCTGTGCTCAAACGATTTGAAAAGTTTCATGGACGTCTTATTTTAACTTGATACTTCCAAAGTGTGTCATATTAACTTTTGTATTTACTGAAGAGACTAGGTTTATTCTAGGACTATCATTAATATTTCCAAATTAAATCAGTTTGTATGATAATAATGCATCACTAAGAAATCCGCCACTTCTTAACATTTGCATCTTTGGAATGTACATCAGTTTGATAGTTCCCCCAATCTCCTGCAGCATATAGTGCAAGTATGAGATCAATGCCTCCACCTTTCCCCTGTGAAGGCGAGTCAAACTTGAATCATCAAATGTCGCTATAATGTATTCATTCATACAGCATACTGGATGCAGATTAAGATATTGATTGAAATTAAATAATCCTACTCATGAACATTTTTCGATTCAGTTGTTCAAAAGGTGATAAGCGCAAATTTTAATGTTTGTGTATGTTTCAGACACAATCATTGAGTTAGTTACAACTTTCCAGATATCAAATATCTAGCAGAGTGAATTTACATGCAAAATTGTGAGATTTTACCTTGTATATCAACAAAATTATTAAGGTTGAAATTTTTTGTTAAACTGTGATTAAGCTAATAATCACCTTTTGAGCAACTGGGCCCCTGTATTACTGAACAAACGGTTTTAAACTTTAGTTAAAATGATTTTGGAGAATGAATACACCACATCTGATTAAATGATACAAGTTACATGAATGTGTTAAACTGCATGGTTTTTCCAAGTTCTCAAATAATTCTGCAGGCATGAAATGAAGGTTTCTTCATCAAAGTAGTGTCTGTTACATCAATAAATTCTATTTTATTTTTTAGAAATTGACCAAATGTGATTGATTTGTTTGTGCAGAAGAATGGTTTAGGTATACGCAATACAATTCAAATCAAAATGTATTTGAACGACAAGGAAAATATACCATGCACCTTCACAACTTTTAATGAATGAAATGCCAGTCATGAACTTGAAATGGTTGCATTAAATATCTTGTAATATACCCTACAAATTTTCGTAAGTTGCACATCAGACAGTGAGCAAATGAACAGAGAAAATGTTGATACAGTTTATTTATGTACCAAATATTATTAGATATAATTGAAACTCTGCAACCACATTCCAATTCATGCTGAATTTGATGGCCATAACTGAATGACACTAAAGATCAAACTCTGACAAATGATCCATCAAAAAATCTTTATTTTCAAATTGTATTTACACTATTAAAAGTCATTTCGGCCACGGGGCTGGGAAATACTGGAAACTTTGATATGTGTGTCCAGAATAGTTGTATACAACTTTTGCGCTTTATCGCGTGAGCAAATTCGACATACCCAAATACAGCATCACTGATGAGGTTATGCGAGCATATTTTCCAGGGCAACAACTTCATGGGGCAAATTTTTAGTTTACAGTTTTTCCATCATGACCAGTGTTGTTGTTTTTTGCATCTTTTAGACATCAAAGCAGTTAAATATAAATTCCATTCACAAAATATCATTAGTTTTTCCTTCCAAAATTATTTGAAATAAAGGAGAAGCATTATAATTCAAGCATTTTTTTCTTCTTCCTCAAACTGAATTTCACAACTGCAAACTTAAAGGCTAAAATACTGTGATGTCAAAAATTGCAATAACCACCGACATGCGGAATCTGTTTGAATAGCCAATCCATGATGACTGCTTTCTTGCACATGTTCCTTATATCAAATCAATGATCTGTTGTATGCATGTACAGCGCTAGTCCATGAAAAGCACTAATACATACGTTGCTGTATAAACACGCTTTATATTGTGAATGACTGAACATGACTTGTGCAAGGTCATGATCTTGGTATTTCAAATTTTAGTTGTTTTTTTTGCAACTTGTAAGACGCATCATACATGACTGCACTCGGCAACCCCTAGTTAAGGAGTTGCATTGCAATCGATTTTTAGGTTAATTGTTTGCTTGATTTATGCATACGGCATTAAAAATTGCTTGATTTTGGTATTCAGCATTAACAATTCAACTAGAACGTCTTATTGTTTCAAAAGTAACACGAGACTTGTAAAAAATTCCGATTGAATAATATAGAAACAGTTAATGTCTTCCTAAACATTAGTCACAAGTTTTTTTGCTACTCTGACATCAATTTAAGGGTTTGACTCTTATAACCAGCAGCACTACAACCGGAGATTATCAGTAGCTTGTGTGAAAAGGAGGAAGTAGTCTTGCCAGGTTCCAGTCCTTAGCCCAAAATTGTTTGGGTTTTAGAGTATGAAATTCTGTTGTAGGAGGGGAATGATACAATGTTTGGATTTCCCGAATAAATCAGCATATAATTTCTAATATTCATTACTTTTATAGAGGACAATTCCACTTTGCCATTGTTTGATATTAAAAGCATGTCATGCCACTTAGCTAGTTAATTTGAGTACTCCGTAGTATACCCGGTAGCTCAATTTTTTAATTTACTGGGCAATTGCTAAGAACCAAACTCTGTCATTTTTATCCATTATGTATCGAAACACACCATTTTAGCTGTTGCTGCATCGTTATAAAAGTATGTGTATAATTCTGTACAATGCCAATCAAATATTTCATGTCATTTTTGTTTTTTCTAATATTACACCTGCCTTTTAGATGCTGTAATTTAAAGTATAGTTGTTTTTCTTTATAATGAATTACATTCCCAATGGAGGGCACATTGGTATTGAGTAAATATTCTTCAACAGATACAAAGTTTTTATCCCAATGTCAGAGGTTCCAAGATGTTTTGCAGAGAATATAGACACTGAGTATGCATAAATGATTTCAAAAATGTTTTTTACTGTGAAAATACACGAGTTCCATTAGTCACATTATGATATTTTTAACTTATTTAATAGGATGACATGCCAGTCAGAACTACTGCAGAGAACTGAAGCCTGGGCAGTGCTCCATGGATACACCACCAGACCATATATACATTCAATATAAAAAGAAACAATAAAATGAGTAATGATATCAAAGGTCGACAGGAATGAACATCATGGACTGGCCCGTCTTCACCACCACCACCTCAACACTAGACCCTGTCACAGCTCTGGTCACCCTGTCACTACTGCTGCATAGATTTGGTCTTCACCAGTCTTCGCCATAGCATCCCGTCTTCACCATCTCCAGAAAACCTTCTTTTCATACCTTCTTGTTCTTCAAAGGAAGCATTTTCAATAAGGAACATCAGCATATAAATTACACTGCAGTAGTTCTGTTAGCATAATCATTCAACATGTGAGAAAACATAAACATGTTTAACCAGTAATGTTTTCACAAGTACATGCCAGTCATAATGGTAGCATGAAAAGTTGGAACATTTGTTACAGGAATACCACAACGCATTTAATTTACAGATCCTAGGATGTAGCCCTTCCTGTTCTGTTAAGAATCATTTTGTATTGCAAAATCCCATTCAGTATTGATAATACAAGAGTTTCAGGTATTACCAACACAGGGATGGAGTTAGCTGCTGGTCCACTGGTCTGTGGTTTTCCGGAAATTTCTGGGGGGGGGGGGCATGATTAGAAGAGTATCAAGTGCTTTTTGAGCTCGCTTGGGCCTGCAGCCCTCATTATCGGGACCAGTACACTTCAAACAGTGCCAGTGGACTTTTACTAAACTGGCCCTTTGGATCAGTTACCTGATTCAATCTCTGCAACGCAAGTCACCAATGTGGATTCCTCTAAACTCCAAAAACTATTAGAGTCGACTTATCCTGAATATAGATTTTCATTTTTGTTTTGCAAAATGATTTTCGAAATCTGAAATTGTTGATTTTCAGCTTAGTTTTGAGAACATTGGCCATGATATCCAGCAGTCCGCACAGACAGAAATTATATACAATATGTTTTCTTATTTTTTTTACATGTTTGACCCAGGTGTGATTTTATAATTCATAGTTCCATACTTCAAATATACTAGTAGTAAGACTACTGCACTAGATAATGTCCATTAGTTCATTGTGAATTGTGAATTGTCCCGTATTTCGAACACGAGCTTTGCCTTTGTTAATTCAGCTGCAAACCGTGAAACCAAACATTTCATTAATATGAAGAATGGTTACAATTTATTTAACAAGTATGAGAATTCTGGAACAAGTCTTTTACGATAACTTCAGGAATAAATCTAAGCCTACATTGCATATAATTTTCTGCCAAAATGGTTAGTAAACCAACTTATTTCCCCTTTTGAATAAAAGACAAACCCCTCAGAAAAGATGGTGGCTGAAGTTAGAATGAAGGCTATTTAGACATTTCACTTGCAAATTCTAAGGCCCAACAAAAACTCATATTTGTTTCCTGTAACATGCCTGAACACACTTTGGTAAGAAGCTGACTGTCTGAAAGTAATATATTTTTTTCATTTGTTTTTAAGTTTTATATGGGAGTGATTTTCACTTGAAGTGCTCAAATTGCACAAAGAAAAGGTAGGGTAACAGGAAACCAACATTTTTTTATTTGGTCTAATGTGGAGGAGGCGTTATACAGCGCCTGTGCAAGTGAACACATTAGACCTGGAAATTCACCTAATTTTTTTTTTTTTTTAAATCCCCAAATCCTAGATGAATCCCAGACCTTGTAGGAACAACTTTACAGTCAGCAGTCAAGACTTAATGGATGACTGTGGTCGAGATATACTTAATATGATTTGTTTGCTTTCAATTTAATTCATAATTTTTTTTTTCGATTTTAAAAAGATTTGACTTTTAGTGCATGTTGTCAGGCTAATTGTCTGTGCTACACTTACTTTCATTTTTCAGTCTAACCTTTATCAGTGATTTTACATCACAAACATTCAGGGTGGTAGGGTGGATTAAATCTGTAGTAAATTACTGTAATCTGGAAAACTTACTATCATAAGTGTGGAGACACATTTTCAACTTTGTGCATGTTTTTGGAAAAATCAATCAACCAACCAAAAGGGAAGGAAGTGAAAAACTGGAATTGGAAACATCAGACTTTCAAAAGCACAAGTGGAGAATTAGTAAGCACTCAAGTTTGCACAAATCCTTTTTATCTACACTTGGACAAAATAATACAACAGCCTCTTAAATGAAATTGTTCAACTCATTCACCATAACCCCTGAAGAGACATTTTAACTCCAATTCATTGGCTGGAAAAGTTCCTTATGAAATTTCAGGGGTGAATGAGTTGAAGCTACTTTCTTTTTATACAATTGCAATCGAAAGTAACTGAATTCCAGCTGTTGGACATGTTGGGTGTTGTACCGTACAGGCATAACAACACATCTGTTTCATGTCAATTAAATCATTTGGACAGTGTAAGGGCAAGTGCTGTTTTGATTATTACTTTAATCAAGGGTTTCAACTTTTTAGTATAGAACCTCTATATGGAAAACAGAAATTTTGGCAGCTGGGTAACCGTAGATTCTACAACTAGGTATCAAAGTGATTTTTATCCTAAATTACACATACTGATTGTCCTTTGTTTAGATTGTCATTTGATATATCTTTAACATATGCAACCGAATACTTATGTCTCGTATATGAAGTTGAAAATGTCACTTATCCTGTAATCATCTTATATTAGTTTCCTGTGGAAAGTTCGTCAATAAGGAAACCCAGCTGCCTAATCTGTACTTCACAAGTGTTTTAATTACCATTGATAGTTTCATTTCTGCATGTTATATATAATTTTGTCTGCATTTGCAATCAGATCTGCTTTGAACGATAGGTTACAGGGAGTTCAACAGATGTTGATGAATGCAATGTTTTTACGGATGGCACTGCATTTTATTGGTACATTTAGTCTGTAAATGAGTGCTGTTCTTGTCAATCAAACAGCAGTCAAAGACACATTTTGACAAAGAACATCGAGAAATATTTACTTCCATTTAAAAAGTCACCTTGAATTGCTAACCGAACATTACTTTGTACCCTAATAGCAAAATCGGTTAACCATTCTAGGGCCCGTACATATTCAGTCGTTGGGATTCTTAATAAACCTTTCAATACTGCTACAGATTAAGCACTGTTGTTGTGTTGTCACTTTCAACAAAATACAGACACTACTACGTCATTTTTATTCATATATCAGCAGTTTGTACACAATAAACATACAATGCTAAAGATATGGTCTCATAAACGTTACATCATATTGCCTGCAAATAAAATCGGGATGGAATCTGAATAATAATCTAGAATAAACATAAAAGTTACAATTAAGAAACATAAAAGTTACAATTTAAAAGGCTGTTATAAACAGCAGAACGACTAAAACTAAATTGTTATTTTATGAACAGCTGTTAATAACGTTCTCGTGAGAGGTCACGTGACTAGACAAGGGTGAACAAGGAGAACGATGATACTCTAAATACACATTGTTTGACATTACCGAATCGACTAAAATATTTTTATAATCGTGGTATAAGAGATCAAAAAATAATAGAAGACCTGATTTATATGCGTTTCGATCACTTCAACAATGTGCGTCGCATATTGCTCGTTTTCTTCCGCCAGCATGGTCAGCATGTTGATCAATGGCTTGCTGTTGCACGTCAGATCCACAAGGGATGACTGGTAGTCGTTGATAACTTCGTTCTCCATCTTGACTTACGAATTACAAAAAGTCACTTTTCACATAAATGATATGATCACACGCCCATAATGTTCATAATTTGGGAACCGTTTGCTGTTCCGTATTTCCTCTCTCTTCCCTGTACATTGCAAATGGCGAGAATTGAGGCGATGACGTCAATATTTGTAACATGACTTTTGATTGGTTAGCCTTTGACGAATCAACGTCTTCGGTTCATCTCTCGGAAAAAGTGTCCGTGCGTTTAAAATATTTAATAAAATATTTTATTTCTTCACGATTCCGTTCATTTTACTTTCGATTGATTTTCCGATATTTTACGCTATTTTCAAATAAAAATGTGTGGCTTTAATTTGTGTTTGTGTTAATATAAACTCCGTAATATGAAGCGCAGCAATAATCGACGGATAAAGTCAAAGAACATCCGAACGCATAATATTTACTTCCGGGTGGATGATAATTTTCCCTGTCATGTTATTGAGCAATGCTGAGATCCATTATCCATCGACCAAAGACACTGTAAAATATTGAAAGTGAGGAAAAAGAAGTCATGTTGAAATCATAACGAACAGACTTGCAACATACAGGTGATTTACTTAAATACTGTCTATACCCCCTTGTTTGAACATGAAATAGATTATAGGGACCCCCTCCCATGCCAAGACCCCAAGAATATCAACCACTTCCATTCCAACCGGTAAGGGGAGAGTGGCCATTGTGTGGGGGTTGAGGGCAGAACGCATACATCCAATCCAATAATTTTACCGTTTGTTTCACAATCACTGTTTTGAACACATTAGCATTAGGATGCTACCTATATTCTGCATTTAATAACGAGATGATGATGTGATCATTCCTGTACAATCGTTATAGAGAAAAAAATCATACAACACGCGCCGTTTAAATAATTTATAAACCAGTCATAAAATTCCTCTGCTCTTGTGATTGAGCTAAAGGGAACCTCAGGTACGAAGGGAGGACCACCGACAGCATTTGAAATGGGAAGAGGCCAGAGGAAAACATCAGACATAGACATTTTGACACATAGATGTCTGGTGTGGGGCCAGACCACACTGCTATATCATATGAAAATGGAATTCTCCGACACCGTTTTGTGTCAGAGAGTTATGAGGTGTTGACATCAATAATCTACTATGACACAACATATATCGATAAATCGATTATTTATTGATCCAAATCAGCTCATATTATCACCAATAGCTTGTAAATTCAGTCAGAAGAGTCCTTAATTTTCGATTTTCGAAATTTCCCACCTGAGCGAATGCCAATTTTTTTTAGGTCAAAAAATCAACAAGTTGTACTGATCCATCCGGACCGAAAACAGAATTTATTGTTCTTTTTTTGTTGATTAGTCACTCCCCAATTCCAAACGGTGTCTGAGAATTCCACGTTTTCATATAGCAGTGCGCTATGGCCCCACACCAGACATCTATATGTCAAAATGTCTAGGTCTGGTGTTAGGGCCAGAGGAAACTTGGGCTAGGAAGGAGAGTAGTGTGCTTCACCAGGAATCAAACCTGCAGCTTCCCATCGCCAGTCTGCCACTCTGATCATGACTTGGCTAAAGGAAAATTCCATATCAAGAAAAGCATCAAGATTCATAAGCTTCTTCTAATACATATGACTCCTGAACTCTCTGCAAACAACCTCTGCAGTTTCTAATTAATTTGAGAACAATTGTAGAGAAAAATGACCAAAAAAAAGCATTCAATTGTGACATTGAAAATTTAGCCCAAATTTAGTTGTTAAGTTGAGACCTTTATAACAATTCATTGATACTTCAATGAACTGAACTAATGTATATGGATTTTGTTTTCTTTTGTAAATTTTATCCTGTTGGTTTATTTATTTTCCAGGTATTTCCATTAAGCAACACAATGGAGGACTATAAATACCTATTCAAGGTGGTTCTTATTGGGGAGGCGGGTGTTGGAAAGACTTGTCTTGTCCGCAGATTCACTCAGGTAAATAATTCAGTCAAAACTCTCATGTAAGTAATATATGTTTTAACTGAGCAATTTGAATAGTTTTAGTACAGTAAAAAAATCATAATGAATCACAAAGGATTCACTGCACTATATATATAACACTGTCACTGTAAAGGCAAACATTTATTTTACTGCACTATATATATAACACTGTCACTGTAAAGGCAAACATTTATTTCACTGCACTATATATATAACACTCACTGTAAAGGCAAACATTTATTTCACTGCACTATATATATAACACTCACTGTAAAGGCAAACATTTATTTCACTGCACTATATATATAACACTGTCACTGTAAAGGCAAACTCATTGTTGTAAGCAAACAATGCAACAATTGTTTATAGTGTTGTGTTTTACTGTATGTTATAAATGTCTAACTCTCATATTGTGGCCACTATTCAACTCCGTGTGGTGTATGATTTGCCTGTAGGTTGTTTCTACCAAGAATGCACACTAAAAATGAACCCTGTGGTTTGTCCTTCATGACCAACTTCTCTAGTTTACTCATAGTTTGTTATCCTTTTAAAAGCCAGTTCCCCCCATTGGCCAGTGTGTCATATTTACCTTAAGTTTGTCATCATTTTCTTGGTTTGTTATCAGTTGACTATAATGTTTCCAATTTAGTGGATATTTGTCCTCGCTTTTAGAGCATGTTGCCTGCTGTCGAATGTCTCAAATTTACTAAAGATTGTCACGTCTTTCAGGGCTTATTTCCCCCTGGCCAAGGAGCAACCATCGGAGTGGATTTCATGATCAAAACAGTAGAAGTAGATGGGGAGAAGGTCAAGGTGAGGAAGTCATTTCATTTTGATCGTACATGTATACACCAAGTTTTAAAATAATGCTTTTCTTGTGTGTATTACTGTGTACTCATACTAACTAGTGAATAATGACATTCTTGTTTATTTCGGATTATAACCTTTCTTACGAGGATGTGTCGATGGATGGGGATTTTGTTTTATTGCAACTTAAAACATCAAAGACAGATCAAGGTAGAAGAGGGGTCCCACTCATCCTCTTTAAAAACAACACCCACACTTGTCCTGTTTCAGCCATGTCAGCCTTTCTGTGTGCAAGAGGTTCTGCAGTACCGATCAGCCCATTAATCATCACGGACAAAGTGGGCGCCATACCCTTATCTCAGACCTTTTTCATACACTCTATCAAACATGTATTAGAGGTGATAGGTGTGAACTCAGAACTTTACAGTGGTCAGGTAAGGTGCAGCTACAGCATGTGCAAACAACCACATGGAAGACCACTTAATAAATGGAGCTCAGACTGTTACAGGTGCTACATCACTTTAGATAGGGACACCTTAAAACAAGCTCAGTTATCAATGCAGGACTAGTAAACTGCCAATGGTTGCATTATCCTACAGTTTATATAAGACTTTTTATTAGTACTTTAACCCATAATGCCAAGTGCAAGGCATAAGGGTAATCAGATGCGGATGCTGAAACCAGTTCAAACGCGTACCTGGTACTGCCCCTGAATCTTGACTGAGCCGTAGTACATGGGCTATGCTTGGAATCAGGTGAAACCTCTGCTAATCTTCCGATAGCATTACCACTGAAGCTTTCTCTGATCCGTAAGGCTATTAGCTGATACCATAGTGGGTTATCCCCCTTACCATTTAACTACTCATGCTCAGATCCTCACATCTGTCCTGCAGCATGCATGAGATGTTCGATAGCTATATATTGCTGAAGTTTCTGATCTGTATATAGGCTATTAGCTGACATCTCATGAAATTACCTCCCTTGTCATTTACCAAAACAGCTCAGGCCTCGCCTAGCTAGGTATATTTCAATCCTCCAACATGAACTTCTCAATACAACAGTACTTCTGTTTATGTAACTAGAGTTGACCCTCTGAACGATTGTTCCTTCAAAATAAAATATCCCTTATATTTTTACATGACACAGTATATTGGACAGTGAGACAGAACATGTATATAATACCTATCAGGATTTTTGAAGTAATATTCACATTTTGTCAATATGTCAATACATGTAATACCTAGAATCCTAACACTATGAAATCTACAACACACCTCAAATATCAATTCATCTATTAACAAAATTTAACAAGACTATAATGTGAAGTAGTTTTCTTTACACAAGATTAAGATATTTACAGACTAGTATGTATTTCAATATATTCCTAACTTGAAAATCAGTTTTTGGATGTATGGAATCATTCTGCAGATATATAAATAATAGATGTAGCAGGATTTAAGTTGAATCCCAGCTGAACTCAGCTTATTTGACTATAAATGATAAATTTTGCATATATTACATCAGAAATGGGTCCACCTGCATGTATCACAGAATAATTTCACTCTATTACATAAACGGTACCACTCTATCACAAACTTGGTTACACCCTATCACTGGAACAGTTCCACTATATCACAAAATTGGCTACACTCTATTACAGAAATAGTTCCACTCTATTACAAAAACAGTTCCACTCTATTGCAAAATTGGTTCCACTCTATCAGAGAAACAATTCCACTCTATTACATAAACAGTTCCATTCTATTACAGAAACGGTACCACTCTCACAGAAACGATTCCACTCTATCACAGAATTGGTTCTACTCTCATAGAAACGATTCCATTCTATCACAGAATCAGTACAACTCTCACAGAAACAGTTCCACTCTATCACAGAATTGGGTCCACTCTCACAGTAACGGTTCCACCAGCTCTATCACAGAATCGGTATAACTCTCACAGAAATGGTTCCACTCTATCACAGAAACAGTTCCACTCTATCACAGAATTGGTTCTACTCTCACAGAAACAATTCCATTCTATCACAGAATCCGTACAACTCTCACAAAAACGGTTCCACCAGCTCTATCACAGAATCGGTATAACTCTCACAGAAATGGTTCCACTCTATCACAGAAACAGTTCCACTCTATCACAGAATTGGTTCTACTCTCACAGAAACAATTCCATTCTATCACAGAATCAGTACAACTCTCACAGTAACGGTTCCACCAGCTCTATCACAGAATCGGTATAACTCTCACAGAAACGGTTCCACTCTATCACAGAAACAGTTCCACTCTATCACAGAATTGGTTCTACTCTCACAGAAACGATTCCATTCTATCACAGAATCAGTACAACTCTCACAGTAACGGTTCCACTCTATCACAGAAACGGTTCCACTCTATTACAGAATCAGTTTAACTTTCACAGAAACGATTCCACTCTATCACAGAAATGGTTCCACTCTATCACAGAATCGGTATAACTCTCACAGAAACGGTTCCACTCTATCACAGAAACAGTTCCACTCTATCACAGAATTGGTTCTACTCTCACAGAAACGATTCCATTCTATCACAGAATCAGTACAACTCTCACAAAAACGGTTCCACTCTATCACAGAATTAGTTTAACTTTCACAGAAACAATTCCACTCTATCACAGAAATGGTTCCACAATACAGAATCAGTTTAACTTTCACAGAATCCAATCTCACAGTAATGGTTCCACTCTCTCAAAGAAACAGTTCCACTCTATTACAGAATCAGTACCACTCTTTAAAGAATTGGTTCCACTCTATTTTTCATGGCTACAGGTTACAGCAGTTTTATTGGGATACAGTGGGCCAGATATGATTCCACTTTATCAGACACAGCTACAGTATATATTTCTATTACAGCTGCAGATCTGGGATACAGCAGGCCAGGAACGGTTCCGCTCCATCACACAGAGTTACTACCACTCGGCTAATGCCCTGATACTGGTGTATGACGTCTGCTGCCAACAGTCCTTTGACAGTCTTCCAATGTGGATAGAGGAGATAGAGAAATATGCCAGTACCCAAGTCTTTAGCTATCTTGTTGGTCAGTATTATTGAAAACTTACATACTCTCCTGCATTTTATATCTAAGTTCTCTTGAATACCCTGTTGAACGTGGTACCAGCATACTTCTCTGTAAATTATACATGTATTAAAATTTGATATGCATCAGAGCTTGTTTCTTGTCCTAAAGTTGTTGGCAAAAGGAGACTTGTCTTGCATATAATTTTATTGATAGTTTCAAATAAAATGAATATTTCGATAAGCCATCTATATTGATGATTATTACCAATTGATAATGGACAGAATATTGTAATGACTCACATTCAATTTTCCTACCTCCAATCTTGAAACAGTAGCTTAAAGGTTTTGTGGGCCCTTCAAACATGAAAATTAAATGGTGCTTATTCACCAAAATTACATGTCTAGGATTGCTTTTCAGGTTCAAAGGTCCAAAGTTCCAGTGTTTATATAAGTAGAAAACAAAGTTCTGCTTAGTAACTTGAGTTCTTGTGGACTCATCAAATTTAAATTCAAACTTCATACAGCGCTTTTTTACCAAAAGTGCTTGTTTGAGGTTGCTTTTCAGGTCAAAAAGTGAAGGTCACTGCTACTGTTTTCATACAACAATTCAACTTCCCTTGGACCAATCAACCCGAAACTTGAAACATTGCTTCCTCTCTGAAAGTGCTTGCTTGATAATGCTTTTCAGTACTGAAGGTCAAGGGTCATTATTATAAATAGAAAATTGGTTTCAGTACATATGATCTACATGTAGTTTCCTCTACAGTACCTTCTTATCTTACATGAGGGTCTGAAGGTCAAAAGCCAAGATCACTGTTTCTGTAAATAAAAATGAAGTTTCTACACTGTAATTTTTAGTTCTGGAGGAGGCGTCATTGGAACCCCATCAGAGCAGCTTCTCAGGACAAAGAAACACCATGTTGATCAAGACACATCCATCTTGATAATGTTCATTCAGATTAAATGAAAAAGCCAAGTGATATTTGATTTTAATTCCACTCTATACTTCTTTCATTTTTACAGGAAACAAAATTGATCAGATCAACCAAGTTGAAATCCCACAATCCATTGGTCAGCAGTTTGCAAATCGTTACGAGATGAAGTTCTTGGAGACATCTGCAAAAGAGGCTGACAATGTTGATAAACTGTTTTTTGATATTGCACATCGGCTGACTGCCCAGGCAAAACAACAGGAACTGGAGATAGACAAACCAGTCGACTTCAACGCCGACAACACCACAAATATCTCCAACTGTTCAGGCTGCTTAAAGTTTTGACAGTCCTGTTCAATGACTTAAGAAATTGGTTGCTTCAGCAGAATTTTTGAATGTTTGATAGTCTTATTCATATAGACCCTTTATCCTGCTGTAGTGTATAGATATCACTCATATCAGTGTCAAGGGTCTACATGAAGTAGACTAAACAGCAGGTATTGGTTGTCTGAGCTGTACACATGTCTATGTAATCAGCTTTAGTGCTGTCCAATATTTCTCTTCATCATCGGATGTTTGGAGATCCAGCATCAGAGAAACGTTTGTTGCCATTGTAATATTGTAGCAAGCACTTCATGTGATTCAGTGCTTGTAGATTATTTTATTTACGTGAATTAAATCCATTTTGTCTGCAGTTTTATGCAAATTTATTGATGGGAACTTCAGGAGATGCAGGAGCTGGTTAAATTCCTGTTATGACCTTTGAAGAATAAGTAAAACACTAGAGATAATGTTTCAAAATAAAAGTTTTTCAATAAAACACACACAGTATCATAGAATACAAATTATACAATGGTATTTGTTTTAAATGATTTTATCAGTATTATTGATTTTTAATTTATCAAATGTTTTGCATCTTTTCAAAATATTTTTTACCTAGTACCCTTCTTAGATCATTAGCACATGTTTGTTGTAAAGCATTTCTATTAGTTTTCTTCTATGTGTACATGGTATTTCAATTGTGTTTTTATATCATTTTGCAAGTTACCAATACAAAGCTTCTTTGCATGAAGTGAAAAATGAAAAATAAATCCATTGCACGACTATGAGTTTAGTGGAACATGTCTACCATTTGCATTTATTTCAATGTTTACATTTTTATTGTTTTAAAAAAATTGCCAAATATTTTGTTATTTTAGTAGATGTAATGAGAATTATTTTAAGTGAAAATCTTGATTTGTTCAATGACATATATATGTAAATTTATACAAAATGTATAAGATCCCCTGAAAATGGGAAAATGAAACAGATTTAGACTTTTAAAGTCCAAATTCAGTTGTCCACACAACAGATATTTTCTCTTGGACATGGGTTTAAAACTTTAAACCTTGATTTTTGATCTGGTATCAGTTAGTTCTGTCACTGGTTTCCCTCCATTTGTTTAATTTTGGGCCTGGTGAGTTCTAATATTGGCTCGTCTCTTAGTTAGTTTAAGATGTCATATTTATGTAAAAGGTTTTCAGTTATTGATTTTATATTGACAACACATTTAATTTTGAGAATGCTATTCTCAGTCTAGGACAAAAAGTTATTTGTGCCATATACATGTGTCTTCCTGAAAGTGATACAAAATTTCTATTTGATAAATAACAATGCAGCTTTGTTTGGGATTAAGAATACCAGGTCAAAACATACCTAGGTGTCGCGTTACACAGGTAACATGTCTCAGGTGTGGTGTTACACAGGTAATGTGATAGGTGTGGTGTTAAACAGGTGTGTGGTGTTACACAGGTAATGTGACAGGTGTAGTGTTACACAGGTCACAGGACAGGTGTGTTGTTACACAGGTAATGTGACAGGTGTGGTGTTACACAGGTAATGTGATAGGTGTGGTGTTAAACAGGTGTGTGGTGTTACACAGGTAATGTGACAGGTGTAGTGTTACACAGGTCACAGGACAGGTGTGTTGTTACACAGGTAATGTGACAGGTGTGGTGTTACACAGGTAATGTGATAGGTGTGGTGTTAAACAGGTGTGTGGTGTTACACAGGTAATGTGACAGGTGTAGTGTTACACAGGTAACAGGACAGGTGTGGTGTTACACAGGTTACATGGCAGGTGTGGTGTTACACAAGTAATGTGATAGGTGTGGTGTTAAACAGGTGTGTGGTGTTACACAGGTAATGTGACAGGTGTAGTGTTACACAGTTAACAGGACAGGTGTGGTGTTACACAGGTTATATGACAGGTGTGTGGTGTTACACAGGTAATGTGACAGGTGTGGTGTTACACAGGTTATATGACAGGTGTGTGGTGTTCCACAGGTAACAGGGCAGGTGTGGTGTTACACAGGTAATGTGACAGGTGTAGTGTTACACAGGTAATTAGACAGACGTAGTGTGTTAGCTATGGTTGTACTTTATTCATCTGTGTTTTTCGTTTTCCTTTTTAGGTCACCTGAGCTTTAGCTCAAGTGACCTATTGCTATCCGTTTTCGTCCGTCGTCGTCCGTCGTCCGTCGTCCGTTAACATTTTACATTTCAAACTTAAAGTCAAGTTCTGCTGGGCCGATTGAACTGAAAGTTGGTAGGAATGATCGCCTCATGGTCCTGACAAAGTGTTGTTATTTTTCGGGTCGATCAGAAATCCAATATGGCCGCCACGGCCGCCATTTTGAAAACCTATTTCAAACTTAAAGTCAAGTTCTGCTGGGCCGATTGAACTGAAAGTTTGTAGGAATGATCGACTCATGGTCCTGACAAAGTGTTGTTATTTTTCGGGTCGATCAGAAATCCAATATGGCCACCACGGCCGCCATTTTGAAAAACTATTTCAAACTTAAAGTAAAGTTCTACTTGGCCGATTGAACTGAAACTTTGTAGGAATGATCGAATCATGGTCCTGACAAAGTGTTGTTATTTTTCGGGTCAATCAGAAATACAATTAGGCTGCCATGGCCGCTATTTTGTAAATACCTATTTCAAACTTAAAAACAAGTTCTAATAGGCCGATCTCACTTAAAAACGGTCCAAGAAAGATCAGCTCATGGTCCTGACAAAGTTAAGTTAACATTATACTTAACTATTTTTTACTCAAATTGGTACATATTTCAACAACAAAAATAAATACTGTAGGACTCAGGTGACCGTTAAGGCCCATGGGCCTCTTGTTTATAATTCTGATGTAATCCATTGAACAATTTGTTAGTTGTTCATTTAAAGGGCATTGTGAATTGGGATTTACATGTACTCTATGGCTAGAAATATTTGGGATCAAATTTTTCTTTATTTCAACATCAAACTAAAGTTGGAAAATGTTGAGATTCAGATTTTATGAAACAAATATGTAATATTATGCCATTAGTTGTTATTTTGGTGGTAAGGTTGCATAACCATGTTGAATAAACAGGTGATAACCATTTCTGCTGCATTTAAATTGAAGTAGTCGATAATTATTTATCTATTGGCAATTTAATATGTAGATCTGCCAGATAACTGAAATAAATTCTCATAAAAATAACCTTCTGTATGGTGCATATGACTTCATAGTGGAAATATGTCGTAGAATTGGGAATGGTTTGATTTAGGGCTACTGGTACAAGAGTGGGTGTTGATCAGATACATAGTTTGGTTGTGTATGTGTTTACAGTTATGTAGCACAGGGATCCTAACCAGCGACTGGTCACTGTTTGTGAAGTCTAAATGTGCATCTATATGTAGAACGATGTTTGAGATTGTGCATTGCAGAGGTCAGCAATAGTACTTGGTGTATGTGTGTAAGGGAGGAACTACTGCTTTTTGATCAATTTGCGTTATTGAAATTGATTGGTATGTATATAACATCCTTGGAATTCCAAGGGTTGTGCTCTCTGACATTCTCTGCTCCCTTGGAATATTTTCAGATGAAATTGATGGCTTTGTATGTGCTTCCTTGTGGATGACATAAATAGATAAATTTTATCCCTAGATGTACATCAAAAAAATTGCACAGCACCATATAGGTAAAATTGACCGGCTTTAAAGTCATGTGCTAATCTTTTGTAATTTTTTAAAACTAGGTAACAGCATAGTGATTGGCAAGATTTTTACCTGAAACCAGTCAAATAGCTTACCCCTGCGTTCGATTGAGCATAAACCCTGGAATTTTGAGAATAGTATATACCTAAAAACAACAGACGTTCCAAAATGTACCCAAATTGAATGACGAGTTTTTATTGTAAACTAATAAATATATTTGCTGTACATGTTCTTATCAATGAGTATGGCAGTAAAGAAGTATTAATACTTTACCTTTTCAAAAAGGTAAGCTTTTAATTTGTTGTAGAGATGTCTTTCAAAAGGCGTTCAAATTGTTAGCTGTTCAGTGTGTTCAGTTATCAGCCATCCTTAAAGTGTTCAATTTTTCAGCCATACCTTGATGGTATTTGTTATCTGTTCTAAAACTGTATCATTGTTTTCAAATTTGAAATAATGACACATGTTATGATAGTTAGTATTTTTATTGTGTTTCATTATTATGTTATTAGTTCCAAAGAACTATTTATACATTCATTGCAGGATGACTTCAATTTAAAAAAAAGTAACTACCTGATGTCATAATCACTATTATAAAATATTTTTAAGTTATTTTCTACAGAAGTATTCCACATCTTTTGATTCGTTCTATAGAATTATAGCAGTTTGAAATGTGAGAATTAATACTGCATGGGTCAAACTGGGGACTTATATATATTCATTGTAGGATGACTTTGATTTAAAAATAAGTAACCGCCTAATGCCATAATTACTATTATATAATATTTAAAGTTATTTTACAGAAGTATTCCACATCTTTTGATTCGTTCTATAGAATTATAGCAGTTTGAAATGTGAGAATTAATACTGCATGGGTCAAACTGGGGACTTATACATTCATTGTAGGATGACTTTGATTTAAAAATAAGTAACCGCCTAATGCCATAATTACTATTATATAATATTTAAAGTTATTTTCTACAGAAGTATTCCACATCTTTTGATTCATTCTACAGAATTATAGCAGTTTGAAATGTGAGAATTAATACTGCATGGGTCAAACTTGGGACTTATCCACTGCTGATCCTAAGCTTAACCCATGTTGCTATCAAGAAAATATAATTGAAGAGCATCAAAATGAGAAATGAATACCTTGACAAGGGAGGTAACTCTAAGACATAACACCCCCACCCCACCCTTTTTGTTGTTTTAGCCTTGAACTGGAACTCTAAATGGTCTCATCTCTGCGATGTTCTCTGCTGCAGCCATTCCCTTTACCTTAGAGCAATTGTGCTTTATGTTGTAAGGTGTTATCTGCTCCTTGCTACATCAACATCTTCAAGTGGGATCATGCAGATAAAAATGAGGTTCAATTTCAGTGCCACTGTTCCTCTGTCATACTGCCTCCAAAGTAACGGATGGATGTTGAGAATGGTTCCATATTGTTTTATTTGTTTTAAATTATCATAATTATTGTGTACAATCTAGTCATACTTGAACATAAACTGTTGCATTGATAACCAGAACTATCATTGCTATTGTTGTACCTTCCATACCAATAGACTCATTAAGATATAGATTATCCTATAAAATGAGAGACCTCTGTCTCATTGGTTTGTATTGCTATATACAAGTATTCTCTAGTCTATGTCTTCACAGCTAAGATTAACTCCTTGCTATTGTGAAGATATTGTCTTTCAGACATGTTGATTGTTTTTATTATTTGCTATACATGGTCAGTATGGTTTGATGAAGGTCAAACTGAATGTTTTTGACTGATGATTGATTTCTTTTTCATTCCTTTGTGTTTAAATATGAAATAATTACATAAGTATCACATGAAATCCATACAAATTTTATGAGTAAGAAAATAATTGTCATGAATAAGTTTTAACTGGTAATGATATGAATCCTGTGTCAGGTGACACAACAGCCTTCAGAATTGTCTGTATACCAAGGTATTTAAACAGGAAAGTAGGTATCATTTCTGTACCTCGTCGGTGAACTCTGTGTTCTTTATATAACCGGCAATAACTCCCTCCAGAATACTCAATACTCCATTTTCTCTCTGTTATTTGTAACATGGTTTTCTGATTTTTTTATGTGAATATGTACCTTTTAACATTTTGTTTTTATATTTTTTCATGTTTATTTCAATCTTCTTCCTTGTAGTCCCAGATATTTATTATCGAGAAATACAAGCATGTTTGCAATCAAGCAAACAATTTTGAAACTCAGATCCTTATTTTTTATCCTACTGTAATGAGTGAGGTATTGTGGAGATAATTATTTATAAGATTATTTTTTTTCAAATCTTTCAATTTTCGTTGGGAAAGACTGTGTGACACTTTCTAAAATCGACTTAAATTCCTTAAAAAAAAAAAAGTTTTTTGTTTTTTTTTGCAATAACTCTGATATTGTCATTCTAATTCCTTGTACTTAAAATACACTGAATTAACTGAATTTGAGCAATATACATAATTTATTGAGTTTTGATTTAAAAAACTGACACCACAGAAAACAGGAAAAGTTAGCATGCATGTTTCTGGATTTTTTTATTTCAATTATTTTTAAACTCTTCCTATAAAAGCATGTTGTTTTATGTATGTAAGTTACAGAGTTTATGGGATAAAAACACACGAGTACCAATAAACATTTAATGTTATGGTAATTATTACTAGTTCTTTTTTTCTGATCTTGATATCCTCTATAATCAGATTGATGGAACTTTTATTAGACTCATTAGAGCTTTTATTATATAAAAAAAAACTTTCTTTTTTTCATATTTTTTTCATGAAGTAAGTAAAATCTGAAAACAAAAAGATAGGACCAACTAAACTGTGCTTGTGTAGAATATTATACATATGTAAAGATCACAGGTAGCAAATAAAACAACGAAAAGAAAAAGAAATCTGATTTCAGTTCATCCAATAGAAGTTTTAATTCATCCGAGTATGAGTACCAAGATTTATTGACAGAAATATGCGTTGAATTTGTTTGCTTTGCACTATCAGATATTGAGATTTGTTTTATGTCATATTAATATTAAAATAAAGAACATAGACTCTGCTTTAATCTTTTTATTCTTTCTTTACACTACAATTATTATCTGTAGACTATATAGCAGTAAAAGTTAAAAAAAAAAATTGTCTGTGACTTTAAACATCTTTCCTCGTTATTAAAAGAATTATTAATAAAACTCATTGACACATTATTAATATCAAAGTCACAAATTATTTTCAATTAATTTTTATTATTGTCCCGGTCATAAAATGGGGGAGGGGGATATAGTGTTGCCAATGTGCTCCCTGGGCGGCTGTCCCGTTGCGTTTTTGAACAGACCTATTTCCATCTGGTTCAACGGTTACCTCCCTTGGAGCACCTGTTCAAGTCAAAATCGAAAAGTCATTAACGTTCAATGTTATTCCATTCTAAAACTAGTGTAGTTGTTCATAGGTACCTTTTTACTGTAAAAAATGAAACAAAATTCATGATTTACCCAATTTGTGGCAGGGTTTTTTCTCTCGGATTTTCGTATCCAGACTTTTTTCGGAGCTCTTTACTGTCGGAGGTAAATTAAACTTAGCAACACCGAAACAAAAATGGCGTCGGTGTAAAAGCAAATAATTTGGTTTTAACCATATAACTGTTAGTATACATAATACAGACTCGGCGACTCGGGAAGGATATTTATCTCAATAAGGTAAGTTGTTACATGAAATGATTTATTCGTCGTGCTTTTCAAAGCACTTTAGCTGATATACAGGATCTTTAAATTTTGCTTCCATTCAGACTATTCACGTTATCCTGTGATTATCCACAGGAATCGGACTCTCTTGGTTTATCTGACGTGCTTTTGAATGAGTCTACACTTAAGGTAATCATGGTATTTTCAATGAGGTTGCATTCCTGCATCTTTGCTACATTTTCCCAATGTTGGGTTTAACCTAGCCCAAGTTTGCTCAGACAAACTTAGATACTTTGACAGATAGATATTGGCACCAGCCAACTATCTGTAAAGAAAGTCTTGTGTCAGGGCCAAGGGGAACTCGGGGCCAACCCATGTTTGCTGTGAAAGGATTGTGTTGTTTATTTTTCATAAGTGTTTTTTACATATACAAAAAAATAGCACGTTCTCTCACACTCGCATCTACACGTTTTAAAATAACACTGTCATCATCCTTCACCTGATATCATCATCATCATCATCATCATCATCATCAGCATCATCATCATCATCCATAATATATGAATATCATCATACACCCTACTCTTACATCATCGTCATCACATCACTGTCATCATCATCAATAGCGACATATTGTTGGTGTCATCATCATCATTAAACACTATCATCAACTTATGATCACCATCATCATACATCATCATCTTACATCCTCATCAACAATACATCATCATCCTCCACACTGTATGATTGTCATTATGATCATAAACTATCATCTCAAATCCTCATCAATAACATATTGATCGGCATCCTCTACAATATGTGATCATCATCATCACTGCCTATCATTTATCGACATCATCACCATCATCACCATCATCAACCATGTATGATCATCCTCAACATTATCTACCATCATCTTTCATCATCAACAACATAACATTTCATCATCATCATCATCATCATCATCCACAACGAATCATCATCATATTCATCAGATGAACACAAATGCTTATATCTTTTAATATTTACATTCTGTATGCTTAGACCCATTGACAAAAATTACATTCATAACCGCATAACACAGGTGTTCATAGAATCTCAGCACGTGGGAACTGATAGTATCCTGATCACACTGCGTAGTAATCCACTACAAAAACTACTCACTCGGAACGACCGACCTAGATGCTTAATTCTTACAACTTAAAACATTATTGAACTGTGCTTTGTGAAATATCCACGTATTCACGTGTCCTGTGCTACAAATAAACATTGAATATGGAACTACATTTTGTTGTGTTATTGTTGTGGACGGTTGCTAAGATCTCTCACGATAGTGTCACATTTCCCCGCGAAAAAACACTGTTCTCGCCACTGCGTTGCACCCGTGTATAAGCAGGAACAAACCCTGTTTATTTGTTTTATTCGTTGTGATATCGATCCACTGAAAGGATTCGTCAATGTAAATATAAGGAATGATATTTATTTTTTCAACATTTATGAGGTCATAACAACAATGGGTTTATCGACATATTGAATGAATCGCGTTAGCGATTCATTTAAAATATGACCAAAAACCCATTGTTGTTATGACCTCATAAATGTTGAAAAAATAAAAATCATTCCTTAAATAATGACATAAATACAACAGCTAGAGAGAGTAGGGGGGGGGGGGGGGGGGGGGGGGGGGGGGGGGGAGATATTATTTCATGTGCATCAAATCAAATACCCTATGCAACAAGCTAATAAGGCTATGTCAGAGTCCTGGCAATAATAGCAATTGCCACAGGAATCAGACTCTCTTGGTTTATCTGACGTGCTTTTGAATGAGTCTACACTTAAGGTAATCATAGTATTTTCAATGAGGTTGCATTCCTGCATCTTTGCTACATTTTCCCAAGGCTGGGTTTAACCTAGCCCGAGTTTAATCAGACAAACTTAGATACTTTGACAGATAGATATTGGCACCAGCCAACTATCTGTAAAGAAAGTCTTGTGTCAGGGCCAAGGGGAACTCGGGGCAAATCCATGTTTGCTGTAAAAGGATTGTGTTGTCTTCAGAGCAAATAAATAATCAGAAAATGGAGAAATGTTAAGGAAGATCTTTGCCGAGTTGATACAAAACTGGTGAAAATCGTAAACATGATCAGTTCAACAGTTGGTACTCCCACATGTATAAGAGACCGCTGGTTGTCCTTTTTCTATCCAGTATGATTTTGCCGACTGCGACATGGTGCCTGTCAAAAGCATCTCACTGTGTTAACCTCTAACACTGTTCAGTTCTGTTCAATTCAGTTGGTAGCTTGAGCAACATGTAGAATTCTGTTCTGGTCTATATGATTTTATATTACGAAAGTGATCTGTTACTGCCGTAACATCTGTATTGCATCACCCATGTCCAGATACAGTTTATCTACAATTTATATAGAGTATCATGTTTCTGATATAAGATATCGGATGTTTTAATTTGTGGTGGCTTTTATTAATCTTATTTAATTTTTGGTGATTTTCTAACTTTCCTAGGTGTTGTAAACCATCCCTTTTTTTAAATTAACACAGAAAATGAAGACACAGCCAGTGCAGCGAGGGGAGGAACCTCCCATGTTCCTCCAGCGGCCATCCACAGGAAAATCACAAGATGTCCGCCATATACTAGCAAAGACTTTTCGGGAACTGTACACTAGGGACGCCATTGGGGCAGATACTGTAGCAAATCTGGGTGTTTCAAAACATGGCGATGATCCTTACCATGAACGTTATGTGGAAGCGCTGCAAAAAGTAAGCTGTGGTGTTTTTAGATCAATTACCTGGTAGAACGTCAAACCTTGTGCTAAATATTTATAAGCAGTTGTATACCAGACAATTTTCACCACAGTTTAATGTCACCTTCTTAATGAAGTCAGATTTATTCTTTCTACAATAATATTAAAACTGTACACAACACACTATACATATATGCTTATTCTCACTATGAAGGGATAAGTTAACACTATAAGCATATATACAGGTTTTACTGTACCAGTGAGAGGCAAATATTTGATTGGTAAAAATATATTGCTATATAATGTCAGACAATGAACAAATTCCTATTAATTACGCCCTCTTTATTACTCAGAATGATAGATGATATAATATGTCATATATATAATAACAATGTGACTTCAAAATATATTTGTTTTCAATTTTATCAACTTTTCTGTTCTGTTTAGGTATTTGAGGAGCGGCAGCGACGTTTAGAAGAAGCTTCTAAACTTGAGCGTCACATCATGCAAGCACAGGCCAGAGCCATGTCAGCAGATGAGCGCCAGCTCAACAGAGTCACAAAGAGCTGTGACAACTACTCGGAGCTGGGACTTCCACCTGGTAAGTCAGGGCAAACATAACCCTATATAAGTCACGTACCAACGACTGCTAAGATAACTTCACTTTCCGTTGGTCATCGCATCCAGTTTTTCTTCAGTATTCCTTATTTTCAAAAGACTTCAGACTCTAACGAGTAATGTATTGTTTTTTTAAAGAAACTTAATGAAAAACAAAAGAAACATTACTTTTTCAGGTCGTTCTTATTTCCGATCCTGCATTGACTCTGATTTGTTGAAGAAACACAAACTGCTGTCCCCAGAGGATTACGCCACAGAGGAACAATTAACAGTGCCTCTACCACATGGTATGTTTTTACACATATATTTACAGACAGGATATGTCTCTATCAAGATATACACATATATTAACACAGATGTGTTTGTAAGAACTTGATGCAAATTTGAAGACAGTCAATTAACTATTGCTATTGCTTTTATCAGGTCCTAAAGTGCCAAGCTATGCACGTGAGACTGTGTCATCGCAGCAACGGACTCGTCCCTTTGACCAGGAAGAGGAAACACCCCAGCCACTTATCTTTAACAGTCGAACTGATCTTGTCCACCAAAGTTATGTGTCGGACAGTATCAATGTGGAGCAGGAAATTCTGGAGTCTGAGGCTGCCTCCTCTATCACAGAATCGGTCAGTTCAAGGGTGTTTTAATACACTGAATCACTTAGTTCCTAGGCATCTTGTGATTGATTTTTTCAAAACAGATTTTTTAAAAGAAATAAAAAGGAGTTGAAGGTTTTGAATAACTTTTCTTACCAGAGGTACATGTAATTAAAATTTCTAATGCGCTTTATATATTTATGAGAGGTAGCAATATGCATCTGACTTTTTTTTTTATTCTTTCGCACACATGAATTGAGATATAGTTTATGGACAATTCAGAAGGAAAATAGTCAATTCAGTTTTCTTTTCGCTGTCTGTTTTTTCAGTTTCTAATTTCTTCAAAACCATTGCTAAACGTTTTAATTATTATGAGCTCCTTAAAATCTTTGAAAAGAGAATGAGGATTATTATAAACAAACTCCTTGTAACACTAAATACCGGTAGTGACTGAGACTGCTGGAGGGTATGAGGAAAATGTAACTTTCCAATGTTAAGCTAAATTTCATATTTTTAGGATTTGTTTCCGAAGAGAGGGGGATGGAAAATCCACATGAGTGAGGCTCAGCGGGAAGTTGATAGAAAAGACCTTGCAAATCTTCAGGCACGTGTGAATTATATGCGTAATCCAAGATTTGTACCACCATCGGCACCACCTGGTGGAAAATCTCTTGTAATGCCATCACGTCCAAAACCAAAGGAATTCGGCATACAAAGTAAACCTGATACCGGGAGGTAAGTACTGCTCCTTGATACTGGTTGGTTTTATCAACACATTTAATTAATTTACTAATATTTTCACTCTGATAGTGATTTAATGACTTACCACATGCACAATGTATACTATTAAGGTCTATTATTAATTTTGGTCTTAATCTCATAGCTAGTACAGCTTACCATTAAAGTAACTTTGATCACTTTATTCTGAAAGTACCAGACTCCTGAGGTATATTGGCTTTGCTATATTTGCATAAGTAGGAATTGTAGTATAAACATGCATACATGTATAGAAAAGGGAAAATTGACTTGCATTTTTGGATAGATGTAAAATACCTTTTCACCATTCACCTGGGCATTACGCACACATGTTCTACTGAATTTTATGATGTCAAGTTAATCGTAAACAAATTATATTGAGATGCGAAACAGCCTCAGTTACTGATAAGCTATCAGGTAAGGCTGTATTTTTTTATCAACCTTTATACAAGTATTTACACCAGCCCCTATCTCAGGGGTCCAGCCCCTGTAATACATTCTTTATATGACGTATTAATGCATGAATTTTATTTTTTAATCTTTTTGTAAATTTCAGACCAAAGGAACCATCTGTTGTATTCTTGGTGTCCCCACCAATAGTTAAATTCTCTGACTACAAAGTTGGTCAGGTTTATGAGGTAAGTGATAGGACAGTTGTAGATGACGCTGTAATGTTTCTACACCGATGGTTAAATTCTCTGACTACCAAGTTGGTCAGGTTTATGCGGATATATCCTGCACTACTTCATCTTAAATCAAACAATATGCTTGCATAGTTTTACCAGTCGTATCTAAAGGAATTTTGATGTTAACAATTTCAACAGCTGGGAATTTTGTCTAAGTGGGAAAATCTGCAGTAACAGTATACCTTGAGAACAATGCCTGCCTTTGTAAAACATGCATGTGTTTGTGTTTTAGTTGACATTGGAGCTGAAGAACGTGTCGGCTGTGATGAGGCAGTGTACCATTCTACCAACAACCACACAATTCTTCTCTGTTGGACTGGGTAGGTCTGTTTTATAAAGTTTTCTGTGAATTGTGAACAACAGTGCTGTAGCCTATGTTTATCTTGTACAGCATTAGAAAAACTCTTGATGCATTGACATTTTTGTTTTCCAGGTCAGTTCCCAGGCGAGCATGGCCTGGTAGCCCCAGGGATGAGTTGTCACTATGCAATCAGGTTTGCACCAGACGCACTCAGGGACTTTGATGATGAGATAAAGGTCCAGACTCTGTCTTCTAACTCTATCTCTGTCCCCCTACAAGGTCGCAGACAGCCTCCAAGATTGACATGTAAGTATCTAGTACAGACCCTGTCCCTATCTCAGTTCCCCTACAGGTTCGCAGACAGCCTCCAAATATAACATGTAAATATCTAGTACATGCCCAGTTCCAACCTCTTTCCACTACAGGCACCCGTTATATAACATGTAAGTATCTGTAAACAGTTAACAATGAAATAAACTAGGGGGGGGGGGGGGGGGGGGGGGGGGGGGGGGGGGGGGGGCGGTGTTCATATTTCATCTGAAATATCTACAACTTGTTGTGACCTTAACGAAGAAATTTTGGTTTGAGTCTTCATGACATAAGAAACCTGTATGAATTTCTAGCTAATTAGGACTGACAACTCATTTAATGATGATAGAAATGACACTAGGTGTTCAGTATTTGGCTTTTATAACTCAAAGCAGTAATTGTTAAAGGCATTAGTTTCAAGGATCAAGTTGTTATATAATATTATAGATGTTTGATGTATTTCCTTGTAACAGTGCCACCAGTCCTGGACGTAGGATACTGTCTGGTCGGAGGCTGCCATGTTGTACAGTTCATTGTGAAGAACGTTGGTGGCAATGGCCGATTCTGTATACTGCCCAGATCTTTGTGGCCAGCTACCAACTTCAAGGTATATGTGACTAGGACTTTCATCCAACATTAAGTTTAAATAAGGTTTCATTGGTCAATATGGCACCAGATTTGTAAAGAAATTTGTATTACCCATATTTATGACTGTCAAACTCACTCTTTTACTTTAAATTCTTGAAGCAATAACAATAATGTGTCACACCATTATTACTGTAGTTGCTATCATTATATTGTAATTCTTTGCAATCTTTGACATGTTTGATATTGGAGGTATGTTTTCTATAGGCTTTCAGATATACTTACGAGAGAAAAGGGTTCCCTAACTGGTGATGTCTAGTTAATTTCTTTTTCTGAGTCTCATCCAGTAATTTTAACATTGTAAAAGTTACTCGGTAAAAGTTTGTATTGTTTGAAAATTTCGAAATGCAATGTAATTGTTACTAAAGAGAGATATCTTAATATGGCCACCATCCATTACTATGTTTTAAATCATCTGTGTACACTTTATATGTTAATACCATTATTATTTTGTTGTGCAACAGTCAGTTGTCAGGAATGGAAGTGTACATATTCAGCCCTTTGAGATTCGTCCATCTGTTCTGGAATTGATGAAGGGGGAGAGTGGGGTGATTGAAATTATTTTCACGCCTCCATCTGTGAAGAGTTACAGCCAGGATGTCACTCTTGTCTGTGACAATTGTCATGTCAAACACTTCACCATTAAAGGTAAAGATTTCATTGACAAACGAACAAAGAAATATATGTAATAATAGAAGACAGTTGCCTCTTCCTTACTCCTGAAAATATCATCTTTTATGACTTATGTTGTGTTTATGTTCAAATACAGTTTTTCTCCTCCTGTCTTGAGTGGTAAAGAAGGTATAAGTTATAAGCCTGGAGCTTTCATGATCTTTGAATACTTAAACTCAAATATGGTCATTATACAAGGGAATAAGATTTTATCTAAATGTTAATTGTGATGTCTTGTATAGGTGTCGCTCAGAGGGCTGGCGTGGATCTTACCTTGGTGGAGCGAGGAGAAGGCAACATCGCTCCCGGAGAGATGACTGACAATACTGCAGAACACATGATACGATTTGATGACCTAAACCCTTTCACATACACAGATCGTACAGTTGTGGTGAAAAATTGCACGTACGTGACTTTCATTGTGTATAGTGATTCTAGTGATTCAACTTTTAAACTTTAAAGTTACTGGCTCATTGTCTTGATAAAACATTATGATGTCTTAAATTAAATCAATTACATAATTTAAGTTGAAATCTATACACTGTATGTATATATGTAATTTGAACACATTATATAAATAACCAAAATGTATATGTTAATTTACTGTGCTTGCTGTAAACCATAGAACAACTTTTTACTCAATAGAAACGTACAGATGCCATTCCAGTGGATGATTTACAAGCCTGAGATGAAGGAAGAGGTTGACCTTGAAGGACAGAAAAAGGTCGTACGTGCCCAGGATGTTGACTCCGTGTTCAGTGTACATCCTCCAACAGGCAATCTACCACCAGCCGGAGACATTGAGTTCCGTGTCACGTTCGCACCACCATTGGTAATTGTCCCCTAAATCTACTAAAGTCAGGATGATGCACTACGTATTTTACAGAAGGGTCTACATTAGTCAGGGATATAGATGTTGTTTGATACCAGATTTACTTGCATATTTTATCAACTTCTTATCTTCACTCACCTCACCGTTGTCAACGTCATATCATTATTCTACGACAACTATTGACGCATCTACTGGTGTTACTGGTACACACTCCCGGTCTGTACCTCCTGCTCTGTAGCATGCAGGGCTAAATTTGCCTGGGTGTTCCTTCCATCCTGTGTTAAAAGTTCACTTTCAATGAAAACTGAAACCCAGGTAAAATGAAAGAACACTGCCATATTAATGTGAAACAATCCAACTTGTGATTGCTGAGTTTATGAAACAATACTATATTCTGATCCACTGGAGTAGATATGTTTCAAAGAATGAAATTATTCCTTGGTAAATAAGAAGATTGTAATTATTGTTGTTGACATGGTAGATGTATCAAATAATTATTTGTTAACTATGAGAGGGACAGGAAAATGGGGTTTTTTACATACAAGGCTCCTTAATTGATGGATATGTTATCTTAAGAATGGATATCAAGCTTTGTAAGTGATCAAATGTCTCTCTAGACAGATATTCTATATAGGTAAGTGTAAGGGGGTGTTAGTTTACCTAGGCAAAGTTACAGGTGTCATGTATATATGTACTAGAAGTTCTTCCTTTGAAGGAGAACCCTCAATATTGAGGTGATAACACAGACCTTCCTGACACTCCCCCTACCACCTTAACCACCACCGTAGTCATTGGGGGATTACTATGTACAATTACTACCACACGTCGACACCACCACAGGAAAGTTATGATACATATGTAGTAGGGAGTGAGGGAGCTCTGCTTTTGAACTGAGGGAGGAAGACATTGTACATTGTGTTCACCGTTGTCATGTGATTGGTGTTTTGTTTTCCAGGTGAATGAGTTCCACAGTGTTTTACACATGATACTGAAGCAGATCCCTCAGTATGAGGAAGGAGATTCGGCCAAACTTCGTAATCGGGATAGACGCGCCCTCCGTGAGAAGTCAAACCTCAGTGATAGCGGGGATGAGGAAGATGAGGAAGAAGAACCCACAGAAATCTTTCCTCCGTCAAGTGGTGGTAAGTGACCTAAGGTCAAGGCCACAGATAAAAATCAACTGTTTCTACAAAAAATCTGACTTATTATGATTTTTCTAGCTTACTGATGTACAGTGCTTATTTTGTAATTTCCAAGGTGAAGTGAATCTGTAAAGTTCACCACGACAGGGAACATTTCTAGTCAAGTTACACCGCACACCTAACAACTTTTAAATGAAAAATTCAACACTACATAATACATTATTCCAATTAAACGTGAAGAATGAAACTGCACAAAGTCAAGGCTGTATAAAGTAACAAGTTAACAAAGTCTGGTTTGTTTTCATAGTGAGACGACTGCGGGACCTTACTGCTATGGAGATAGAGGTCAAAGGTAACAGTGTGCCCTTGAATGTGGTGCTTCACCCCTACGCTGTGTTCGTCCCGGGTCGCAGCCTTATGGAGACCACCATCAAGAAAAGAGTAACAGTATGTACTTAACCCTACACTAGCTAGTTGATAATTTTGCAAAGATATTCATATATCAGCATATTGTGATTCAGAACCATTTTGGTAATGTACAGGAATAGGAAATATTGGAAGCAGTAATTTTCTATGTAACCTAAATTCACTAATATCACTTTAATAATTTATCTTCATTAAAGCATTCCTTATTGTGTTGTGTTAAATCAGTATATCCAGAATATTTCACACTACCTGGTATATGTGCTAATTGTCATACTTTACCAGGTTATATGTAAACTTTTGAGATTCTTCTGCTAGAATAAGGAACATTAAGTAATGTCAAATATGGCATTGTTCAGACACTTGTGCTAGGCTGATGATCTTGTCGATGTTGACTGTGGAAGTATTTTGATACTTGAATTAGAATGGGGATCATGACTATAGTGATCTCATTTAGATGGCCAATCACAGTCGCTCTACAATCACCTTCCAATGGCAGCCATACAGCGAGGGCTATATACTGGAGATGGAGCCACCGTTTGGTGAACTAGGTAAGAGAGACAAGTGATATCACATCTAGCTTTCACATCCTGTAGATCACAGTCTAAACAATCAATGCTTAAACATCAATCTAATTGTAATCAAAACAAATGTTCACAATGATGGATATCTTTGATGTAACAGACAAAATGTCCACAAAAATCTACACCAGAATATGCTGTGAAGGGGAACAAATGGATGCTAAGTTTCAATGGAGTGATGCTGTTGTCATTTTTGGGGAACAAATGGATGCTAAGTTTCAATGGAGTGATGCTGTTGTCATTTTTTTTTCAAATAAAAGTTTTCCTGTAGGCATACACGTGCTGTTTACATGATAGCATGATGGTCTATCTCAATTGTTAAATTTGTCCATTTCATGTACATGTATTTACAATCTTGTGTATATTTCCAAGTATCTGTCATTACATTTATGTCTCCATCCACCTTATTTATTCTTCATCTTAATTACCCCTTCAAGTACAAACTTGTTGTCTGGTAAAGACAAGCCTTGTATGTACTGAAGTGTTTCTGTTATGGTATTGGTAAGCAATGGTTTCCCTGTCACCACAGATCCTGGGATGGCCATGGACCTGGAGCTGGGTATCACTGGGGCCATGCCAGGCAAGATCAACCATACCCTCTACTGTCACGTGATGAACATGACTGAGCCCCTCCATCTCCATGTGGAAGCTGAGTTTAAGGTAAATGGGAAAAAGATAAAGATGGCTATGTGGAACAAAAACCATTTGACCACATTTTGTTGTTAAATTTTGAAGAAAATTAGTAGGCAAAGAGCTTATTGTTCAAAAGACTTTCACAGCTTTCAATGTTCTGAAGATGTATAAAGATTGATGGTTAACAGGCCCTTGAGAGCAGTTAACCTTTTCACCCTTATGTAACATTAGTAGACTCTACCATGCATTGATTGGGACGAGTCTATTAGAGTCAACAGTAGTGAAAGGGTTAAGGAAAATGTAGTTGATAAAGATCCGAGGTGACCAACTGACCATTTAATCATTTTTTGTGCAGGGTCCAGAACTGATGATCGAGGAGCCAGATGTCAGCTTCGGCCTTGTTTGTCTGGGTAGTCAGGCCACCAAGCAGATCACACTGACAAACCTGGCACAAATCATTACCAAGTGGAGTATCCATGATAGTCCGGAATTCATTGACCTGGACAACGGTGATGTATGTGTCACATTGACGATGCTTTGAATTTGATTTTTGTCTGGCTTATAAAAAAATGTCCTTTTCCAAGTTCATGGGTCATTTGCTGAAGAACGATTAAGGGTTGAGTTGAGTGGGTACATTTCTTACCTTTGTATTTTTAGCACTATACAGTTTACCCCACTCAATCCTCAACCTCATGATTGTTAATAAAAATGTCCAATGCTTGGGATAGGTAATCATCAAATCATTTTTCTAACTATTCCATCAGGATCCCAGTGAATTTGTTTTCACTCCGGCCAGTGGGGAGTTGTCTCCCCTGGAGCAAAAGACAATCTCCATAGAGTTGATACCAACAGCGGTGAAGACCATCAAGCGTGTGTTTACCGTCCAAGTGGTGGATGGCAGTGAGTGGTAAGGATAGAAGAGTCAAGGATATATAGGGATTCATACATTTTCATTCTTCTCTCTTATTGGTTCTGCAGTAAATTCAGTATAATTTGATTTGATATGTTGGTTTGTGATAAAATTTGTTGGTGCTTAGAGAACAATATCTTTAAATATACTTTGTATATATGTATGAATCATTGTGTAGATGACTTTCGTAAAACAGGAAGTGTTTACCAGGAAGCTTTCTTGCTCTTGAACCAAAATGAATTCAACAGAACACAACATTGAAAGAAAATGTCAAATATTTACAGCATTTAAATTCTGAAAAAATGGAAAGGCAAATTTAACACAGGTGAAAATAACTCTTGTAAGACACAAATGTTATATTAATATTTATAGATTTGCAGTTTAACAAGGATCACAAAGATTAGACATGAAATGTAGATGGCTTTAAGATATGAATAGTAGTAGTGTTGAAGACCTAGCTGTTGTGTTTCAGTAACATTGGTGCCACTGCCGAGGTACAGGAGCCGCGGGTGTGTCTAGCTTCCTGTGAAGTGTGTATGGACGATGTATACAAAGGAGTACCAGTACTCTGTCAGGCCACCATCATCAACCAGACACTGATACCCACCTCCTTCTCATGGGGAAAGGTAACTCAGTTTTTGTTACATAGGTAGCAATTCATACTATTTAGCAGACTGTTGACTGGTTTGTGATGACAGCAGCATTATAAAGCATACATATACACTTGTACTGTACTTCTCAGTATATATTTCATTAGGACAGATTTATCGGGATACCATCATCTCCATTGACAAACTTCTTCAATTATCTTGACTTATTTCCTTTCAGATCCAGGGAGGTCATGCTGAAGACTGTGTGGTGGAGCTTGACCCCCAGTGTGGTGAGCTGGCACCACGGGAGGAAAGGTCCATAGATATCCGCTTCATTGCCAACAGAGAGGTAACAACCTATTTCTATCCTGAAAGTTTTGAGTAGACTCCATCCTAAGAGTATTGTTAGACTCCGTCCTGAGACCAAAACTCTAAATACACAATGACAATTTCATTCAGTAATTCATTCAGATAAACTTTAAAGGAGTGGCCCTTACATTTGGATTAAAAGTAAACACATGTGAATTCTGCAATTCAATATTTGGTGGCATATTAATCTGTATATGTTGATTGCAATATGTAGAATTATAATTTTTATTGTTTTATGTTTACACTGTCCCTGATAACCTCCATGAAGAGCTTGATCTGTAAATGAGAATATCTTAAGAGAGTATATAGGAAAAGGTGTCGGACACAAAGTCATTGTCTGGCTGAAAATGGGTTCATATTATGAATGTGTTACACACTATATATACTGGGAATCTAACTGGTAATTTTGTCCTGAACTACAGGGAGAGATCTCGGATGTCCGGATACCCTGTGAAGTAGCCGGGATGGAACAGCTATTGTTTTTGGGTTTGTTCTGTGATGCTAAAGGTCTATCTGTCACTTACAAGACCTCAGCCTTGGGACAACTATCAAGGTAGGCTGTTTCTAGCAATGACAGGGCTGTTAAACCTAATATACCTGTAAACATCATACTCGACAGACATGATTTATTCAGTTGGGAAAGTGTTTAGAATTTCCAATTGATTATTTTAAAAGTTTCATTTACAGACGTTTTTCTGATAATGAATGTTAACATATTTCAGTGAGTACTTTGAAGATGTTTGCCTGGACTTTGAGGAGAAGGTGGACCTTGGTTCTACACCTAAAGTCTACCTACACATCCAGAATTTGTCTGGGATCACAGCCCCATACAGTCTCCACATGGAACACTTCATGGCCAAGCCACCAACCCCACCGGGCAACAAGGATCCCAACACCTCAAGGAGGTACCAGACACTTTCTTTTGATACAGCAGTTTTGTACTGGGTGATGACTGCTCTACCACTAGCTAATAATTTTACATCTTTGTGTTGGCAAGAGATTCAAATTCAAAGGAAACAGGAAATAGATTTTCATTACATTGTATAACAAACTATAAATGTTTAGACAATCTGTTAAGATTCTTATCCTCGAATGGCTCTGTCTTTTCTGATTGATGCAGTAAAGAAAAATTACTTTGTTGAAAAGCAGTTAAATTTGTTATTAAATATGTTTAAATAGGTGATATTTATGTCAAATGAGTGGTGAGCTGAGGGCTTCTTCAATCCTTACCCCCATTAGCTGTAATCTGAGGCAGTGATTAATTCTTATGTGCCCAGTGTTAAGTTGTATTCTAAAAATGTATATCTAACACTATTTTGTCCTGATAGCCAGCAGAGGAGGGTGATGTTGAGTCGGACACCCAACCTGGCAGATCCTCTCAGTAAGACACAGTCTAAGGCACAGCAGGGTGAGTGTCCCTATAATGGCATCTTACAAATAGAATTTACTTAGAACTTACTTCAGACAAGACAGTAAGGATTGTTATTTAAAAATTTTACTCATGAAAATATCTTTTCAATTTTGAATGTGCATATTATTTCAATGACATTTGATGAAATATTTGTAATAGTACATGTAGTAATTTTGTGTTACTTTTTCAGATTTATGTAAAGCTATGCTATCACTAGGCCTTGGTGCCTCTTTCGTGCCCACCCCTGCATCTGGGGTTTTACAGCCATTCGGGGAGCAGATTATAGAGCTCGGAGCTTACTCTGATATGTGGGGCCTCTATACTGACAACTTAATGTGTAAAGTATGTACACTACCAGATTATTTGTTAAAATGTGAACAGAAGGAGGCAACAAAGCCCAATTGTCTGAAATATCATATGGCAGTTTGTATTGTTGGTGTGATGTCACTTAATACTTTTTTGAGATCAATCAAGACAACAGCATGACCTGATATGGAGTTACCTTCCACAGGTGCTCTTGTAATGAATCCTTCATTTGTATCATTTGTCCAATTAAAACTCACAAAATTGTCAAAAAGTTTAAACTTCTCACTAAGTCGGAGAAAAATAAATTTGCCATCTAGAAATATCATGCCTCAAAAATGGTTTATGCAAAACTATAAACTAAACACTATAAACTATAAACTGTAAACTATAAACTGTAAACTATAAACTATAAACTGTAAACTATAAACTATAAACTGTAAACTGTAAACTATAAACTGTAAACTATATACTATAAACTGTAAACTATATCCTATAAACTATAAACTATAAACTATATACTATAAACTGTAAACTATAAATTATAAACTGTAAACTATAAACTATAAACTGTAAACTATAAACTATCAACTGTAAACTATAAACTGTAAACTATAAACTATAAACTGTAAACTATAAACTAAACTATATACTATAAACTGTAAACTATATATTATAAACTGTAAACTATAAACTATAAACTGTAAACTATAAACTATATACTATAAAACAAGTTGACAAACTATAATCGGTAAACTATAAACTATAAACTTTTGAACTATAAACTATAAACTGTAAACTTTAAACTATAAACTATAAAACAAGTTGACATCCTAGAAATTTCAAATAGTTTTACTGATGCAAGATAAGAACAAATTTAGTATTACATAAACAGGCTAATTCACTTACTGGTACATTTGATTTAGATTGGAGACCTGGAGGTGTCAGCCATACCGGTCAAGATGAACGTTGTCGGATGTCCACTTAGCTTCCAGATGACGGCGGCGAAACCGGACCAAAAGCCCATCGTGAGGTAAGAGATAGGGTGTAACACTCTCTTCTATAGGATAGTTCCCCAGTTTAAATTTACTACGAGACAAGAGGACAGTGATCATCATGTTGGTTTGTCAGTATCAAGATTTGTCCGAAATTTTCTGGTGTATTTAATTTTTTATTGGAATGGAAATCTATTTTCCTTCATTCCTAGGACTATTTTAACAATTTTGAACAATCCCACACCCATTTTGCACGTACGCAAGAATTTCTTCAGCTTGCTGTGCTACTAATAAATCATATCCAAATTAAAAGCTTGATAATATTAAAAGATTTATCATAGAGCTAGTTATATATAATTAACATATATTAAACACATAATTTCATGAATACATTGATCTGCCATTTAATTTTTGAATTTTATTTGAAATGATGTTTTTCTCAGGTTTGGGACACACGTATCAGGAGTGGCCGCCACTAGTCGCACCATGAGAATCAACAACACTAGTCCACTGGGTAAGGAGTTATCCTAAACTGTCCATAGAAATATAGTCAATACTGAGTAGCAGTTTATCTCAAGTGATACCTCTTTCTCAGATTTTCGTGTCATTTCAAACGTATGATTCAGAATTTGTGTCCTTTCAGATATCCGCCTTGATTGGCAGTTATTTAACTTGGAGGAGGACGACACAAAATTACTGGATTTCATTGTGGGCTTTGGTGATGCCTTTCCTAAACGTGATGAAAATGGCAAGGAAGTCATTCCACCATGGAAAAGTAAGTAAAAAGAAGCATTATAATGAGCTCTATCATCTCCAGAGAGTTTTGGTTTAGCTCCATTAAATGCCATGAATTAAGTGCCTGTGAGCTTGTGTTTAATTGGCAGGTTATACTGGGTCAACTTCTCTTTAGCAACTTCGTCAGATCTGTAAGGCATTGTCATGATATTTGGAATATTATTGCTTTCTGTGGTGGAGGGCTACCAAGTTTGTTTAATTGAATGATCGACCTTTTCTCATTTTCAAGGTCGGGATGATATATGGTAAAAACTTCAAACAAATTCTTCTACAAATCTATAAGGTTTAGAGTAATGGTATTTGGCCACAACTTGCTTAGATGAAGGGCAATCAAGTTTGTTCAAATAAACACATTTAACCCAAATTCAAGATCAAAAACCTTCAGACAACATATTCTTACAAACCCTGAAGCCTAGAGTCATGATATTTGGCCTGTAGCTTGCTTAGGGAAAAAAATGCCAAATATATGTTCAACTGTATTTCCTTTATGAACATGCAAGGTCACAGGAGTCAGTTGCATTAAAACCATTAAAAGCAAGTTCATGAACTTTGAGGCCTTGAGTTCTGGTGTTTTGTATCTTGCTGAGAAGAAGGGCAGTTAATTTTGATCAAATAAATTACCTTGATAAACATTTCTACCAATTATTTCACGCTTAAATTTCCAGGTGAATAACACAGGCCCTATGGGCTTTTCCTAGTTTAGTTTCCTAAATGCACCATGTAATTTGGACAAATATTGCACGAAATGATCCCTTGTAACTTCTTTGTAATGATACATTTACAATGTACATATGTATTTGTTGTACTTTACTGTGTACTGCAAGAAATGAGTATATAAATTATAATTTCACTGTTTATTAGGTAGTCTGGTATTCAGTTCAGGAAAAGTTAATAATTATAGCTAATTTTATGTATTGCTTTCATTAATTGCACTCATTACTGGATGTAGTTTGTACAAACAGCTCATGAAAAAATATCTTCATAATTGAATTATCTGTATCCCATAGAGAACATTTGTTCACAGCAGTTTTACCATTAATTTTGTGTATAAAGTTTCTACTTTAATGTAACTGTTTATTGTGATCCATAAGTCAGTTCAGACACATATTATCAACTGACCTGTACATGTCTGTATGACAAACCTACACCGTGCACGTGGTTAGCTATAACACTACACCACATACCAAGTTAGGTATATATCAGGAAACCAGACTAGGTATGAATTTATATATGGTAACTTGTGTATGAACCTATTACTCTGTAGATGAGAAGCAAACTGTTGGTAAGAATGCCCATACTGGAGTTTTTTTTATTCTATTTTACATGTTCCTCACTGTAGAAAATATATCTCACACTTGTATCACTCTATTTGATGTGATTAATCATGAAAGTTGTTTTCACCTTTGTCTACCTTTTATTTACTGCATGTAAAACCAAATAAGTAACAGTCCATCTCTCCCTTGACACTGCATGTACAACCAAATAAGTAACAGTCTATCTCTCCCTTGACACTGCATGTACAACCAAATAAGTAACAGCCCATCTCTCCCATGGCACTGCATGTTATTTTAGTCCTTCCAGCCTTTTTCACTAACATCAATACTTTTGCATGAATAATATTATTCCATTCGAAAACAATTGGTCAACAATGAATTTGTTCAAGTTTCAAGAATAGGTAATGTATGCTTTGTTTCCATAAGTGGCCATTTTAGATGGCTACAAGATGGCCACCCTGATTTGACAGCATGTATACACCTGTGATGACCGTCCTATAACACTAAACTTACCTTTTACCGTTACTTTCTTCACTAACTGCATGCGGCCAACAGCCCTTACTTGTTACTTTATTTTTGTTCCGATAGCTTACATTGAATATCTCCCCCTATGTTTCTCCCACCAGGAAACATTTTTGATTTATTACAGGGATGAAAATGTCAGACTTTATGTTTGAAGTTATCGCCATGTTATTTACTCATTATTGAAAAAAAAAGTAAAATAAGTGAATAAGATATGTTATCAATATAATCTTAATAGGTTTTGTTAATAAACAACTCCCTCCAATATAGTGGACAGAGTATAATTATTCTTTAAATTGTTCTTTTCTTTGTTTTATAAACAATGTATTTTTTTTTACAGTGAATGTTTAAAAAATGGATGTCATTTAAAATGTTCATAGTAAATGTTTATATTTGTATCTTGGATAAATAAAGACTGTGGGTTACTTTAATGATGTTGATAAAAAAACATTATCAAGTAACTTTCCTTAATTTCAGTTATGTATTCTCTGTGCGGTGAAATTTAAGTTAACCCTTTCACCCCTATGTAACTTTAGTAAACTCTACCATGCATTAATCTGGATAAGTCCATTGTGGTCTACATTGTTGAAAGGGTTAAGGAAAAAAATCATTTAAATGAGTGTTACAAGTGTTTGAAACCAAAGCCTTACTAGTAAGATTGTTACATGGTATCCAAGTACCGAATGTATTAATGCTGTCAATGATTTCATGACGTCATATGATGTCTCCCCAGTGCCCGAGATGCCAAAGAGGATGCCTACAGAGTTTATACCCAATTCTCCCGACACCCTGCCTCCTCTGACAAGGGAGGTAACTCGAGTGATCAGCACACCTACAGCACCTGCAGCCCCAGTTGTAGAGCCAGTCCCTATAGAACCCCTCATGAAGTTTGCGTCAGTTTTTGTCCGCTCACATGAAGGTGTTCCCTGTGAATCTCCATACAATATCAAAAACAAACAAATGGTATGTTTATTTATGTATCAACAGAATCCATTGATTGATTGAATTAATATCCTATATTTATAGTTCCCTCATCAATCTAAGTTTGTTAATTCAAGAATAGCTCTAATTCTAGTTTGCATTCAAACATTTTCAACCATTTGAGATATCTAAAAAAACTGATATGATAATTCTTCCAGGCTAGTCCAACAGGTACGTTTGATAACACTTTCTTTTCAATATTAAGTAGTTCATCTTTCCATGCATATACAACACCAGTACAAACCGAAAATTGAATATTGTATGGAATGAAGTGATACTACATGTATAAGAAAACTTACTTTTTATGCTATTTTTCATTGTTGAGAAATTTCACGGGTGGCTGACATGTACAATGCTGAAACGAACATTTGTCTTTGAATTTAGATGATTCCAGCTAGAGGAAATGCCAGTGTCAGTGTTAACTTTACCCCATTCCCAACAGGCCAGGTGTCTGAGGAAACGGACTGCACTGGATACGCTATGGGATTCATGAGCCTGGACAATGTGAGTTCTCCTAGGAATAGGGTAATATTGCAGGAATCCAAACTTTTAAACATAGACTGATAGTCACCCAAATTTTCTGGAAGATTCCAAGATTTTATTCTGAGTTAACCCCTCCAGGGCAAAGAGAAATGCAGTAATATGAAAATAATTTGCCTATCTACCTTTAGTGATTGAGGTCAAGCTGAATAAATAACATACAGGAAGTCTAAACTGCAACTGAAAACTGGTAATCTAATCTCTAGAAGAGAAGAATTAAAAATTCAAAAATAAAAAATCCTTTTCTTAATATCCATTAATTTGGTTTCATAATTTTTAGTTTATCATAAATTTTTCGATGTGATAAGATTTTTTTGGGGAAAAAAATGTGGAAATTATTTGATTGGTATTGATAATAAGTAGAAGTTACTGTTGTTACAAAAGGTATATTGACCTTTTTTTAAAAGTAAAATTATTAACTCTGTACCTTAATAAATATATATTTTTGTATTTCAGAATAAAGCATGTACAGAAAACAAAGTGAGTCGTCTCCAGGGTTATAACATGTCCAATCTGAGACTTGACATGACTGCTCACCTCAAACCAGCACTGTAAGTCGAGCCAGAAAACATTTCAAAGTGTTCCAGTTTATTTCACAAACAAATACAGTAAAACTTGATTATGTGGACGTTTCCCAGACCTTATTTAATACAGTTTGATGTACATGTACACTTTGGATATAACAAAATGATACATTTCAATATTTACAAAATAACTGTCAGGGGAACAAAAAGATCACTTCAAGATCAATGTATATCTGTATAAAAGTGGTATTTGAGGTTGGATGTCAATTTAGTATTTGAGACATTAAGAATAAAAGCAGTATTTGAGAAATCAGGTTTAAATGTGGTATGTGTATTTCAAACATCAGGTTTAAATGTGGTTCGTGTATTTGAGACATCGGGTTTACATGTGGTATGTGTATTTGAGACATCAGGTTTACATGTGGTATGTGTATTTGAGACATCAGGTTTAAATGTGGTACGTGTATTTGAGATGTCAGGTTTAAATGTGGTATGTGTATTTGAGACATCAGGTTTAAATGTGGTACGTGTATTTGAGATATCAGATTTAAATGTGGTATGTGTATTTGAGATGTCAGGTTTAAATGTGGTATGTGTATTTGAGACATCAGGTTTAAATGTGGTACGTGTATTTGAGATATCAGATTTAAATGTGGTATGTGTATTTGAGATGTCAGGTTTAAATGTGGTATGTGTATTTGAGACATCAGGTTTAAATGTGGTATGTGTATTTGAGACATCAGGTTTAAATGTGGTATGTGTATTTGAGACATCAGGTTTAAATGTGGTATGTGTATTTGAGACATCAGGTTTAAATGTGGTATGTGTATTTGAGACATCAGGTTTAAATGTGGTATGTGTATTTGAGACATCAGGTTTAAATGTGGTATGTGTATTTGAGACATCAGGTTTAAATGTGGTATGTGTATTTGAGACATCAGGTTTAAATGTGGTATGTGTATTTGAGACATCAGGTTTAAATGTGGTACGTGTATTTGAGATACCAGGTTTAAATGTGGTTCGTGTATTTGAGACATCAGGTTTAAATGTAGTATGTGTATTTGAGACATCAGGTTTAAATGTGGTACGTGTATTTGAGACATCAGGTTTAAATGTGGTATGTGTATTTGAGACATCAGGTTTAAATGTGGTACGTGTATTTGAGATATCAGGTTTAAATGTGGTAAGTGTATTTGAGACATCAGGTTAAAATGTAGTATGTGTATTTGAGACATCAGGTTTAAATGTGGTACGTGTATTTGAGATACCAGGTTTAAATGTGGTTCGTGTATTTGAGACATCAGGTTTAAATGTAGTATGTGTATTTGAGACATCAGGTTTAAATGTGGTACGTGTATTTGAGATATCGGGTTTAAATGTGGTACGTGTATTTGAGATATCGGGTTTAAATGTGGTTCGTGTATTTGAGATATCAGGTTTAAATATAGTACGTCTATTTGAGATATCAGGTTTAAATGTGGTATGTGTATTTGAGACATCAGGTTTAAATGTAGTACGTGTATTTGAGATATCAGGTTTAAATGTGGTATGTGTATTTGAGATATCGGGTTTAAATGTGGTACGTGTATTTGAGACATCGGGTTTAAATGTGGTACGTGTATTTGAGATATTGGGTTTAAATGTGATATGTGTATTTGAGACATCAAATATAACTGTTGTAATTGTGCTTCAGACTGAATATTGAGCCTACCGATGAAGAGGGCATGAGGTACCGATCAGCCATGAGTGATCTCCTCCTGGAAGGGGGCAGGGTATGTAGCAGGTCTGACACTTTGTCCCACAATTGTCCCAATCCAAGTTGGCAGAAAGTTGCTTATATTTTCCCAGACTGAAGTCATTACATTATCTCCACCTAGGAAAGAGCCCATCCCCAGTTGTTACAAGGGAAATAGCAAAGGTCCAGATGTGGGTAACAATGTAGTAAAGGTCAATGTATTTAATGCTCCTATTGGGATCAAACCTGGACCTCTGGCTTACTAGTATGATGCTTAACCGACTGAAATAAAGAGAAGTTCTCTCCAGCTAAGTGAGTAGGGAGCTGCTGGTATTTTATTAGACAGTCAAACTTCAATAAAGCACATTGCAATAAAGTACATGTACCTGTAGAGCAAGTAACAACTTTAAGATTTACAGAGTATTTCAAGATACCCCAGTGTTATAATGATAATTCTGTATGTGATAGCATAAGTTGTAATTAAGAACTTCTCTGTGTGATATCAGGAGATCAAAATAAATTACAACATTTTTGTGTATGAACTTGCCGTATGGACGCTAAATTTATGAAAGTAACTTTTCCAGAAATCTTCCGTACTGTAGTGGTTCTTTAAGGATTTCTTTATCAGATGTTGTCCCAAAAATTCTTCGAAAAGTTATAGATTATGAACGATTATTATACCCCCTGCAACAAAGTTAGCGGAGTGTGGGAAGTGTACTGGAGTCAGCTTCTTCGTCTTTCTCGACAACTCCTCTGAAACTATTAAGCTGATTTCAACGACACTTTATACGCATACTCAGAACATCATGTACTTAGGCGTCTGATATCTATATTAAATTCCTTTCAAGACAAATTTTCCAAATATGTGTGACCAATTACAATGAAACTTTCTGGGATACCTGAGTGACCTACATTGTATTTGAATGGGATAATAAGTGGTGATATAATATATGACATTGTGAATATTTGTCTTTGACTTTGTTATTTTGCATCTTCAGACAAAAGAGGAGAGCTCCAAGGTATGTAGTGCTGTCCTGGCCAACCACACAGAAACGCCCCTCACCTTTAAACTCATTACCAAGCCTCCGTTTGTACTGGTGGACCTCAACCCCTCCACCAACCGCGCTGGTGCCACATCCATCCAGGAGACTGAGATGCAGACCTTACGGCCCCAACACAACTTGTTGGTTAGTGATTTCTCAGTAACACTGGTGTGTAATGCCCTAGAGACTCCATGTATTACTTCAAGGTTTCTGAGGTTGATTAACAATAGGCACTTAGGTACAATGTATTTCATTTAGGTGAGTAACTCTTACGGACCCAGTATACTGTTGTAAGGATCCCTGTTTCACTGTAGGTAATTCAAAATAAAGAATTCTACCGTTGTTTTTCATAAAAAAAGTCAAATATTAATATGCAAGTATGATTAAATACTAGGTAATAACAGGCCAGGTAAGCAATTCAGGCTTGATGGGCCTTTTGTTATCCGTGATATGTAGTTAATCACTAAGTGTTCTGTGAACGTTTTGTAGGTAAAGGTCGCTTTCCAAACATCCACTGACCTCCTTGATCTTGGAGAGGAAACAGAGGAAAATGGTGAATCAGACGAAGTAACGAGAAACCAGAAGATTGAGATCAACGACCACCTAACGGTTGAATTTAACAACTCTGCAGTACAGGTAAGCTATCTACAAATTCATATATTGATAGTTTATAATCATTGGCCAAATGAGCCATTCTGCTAACTGATTAGATAGAAACAATGTATGCTTTTCACTATTGATCACTTTATACAATGCATTAGCTGTTCTGATTGAATACTACAGTGCTGTATTTTGTATCTGTACAGAAAGTACCTCTCTATGCTACCCTGTCTGTGCCTCAAATACAGCTGTCCAAGCAAGAGCTCGACTTTGGGACCTGTCTTGTTGGTCAACAGCGGGAACTCCAGCTTCTCATCTCCAACGTGACAGCATCACACAGCTTCTGGACCGTAGAGACAGGTATGTTGTGTGATCTGGACTATAGAGACATGTATGTTGTGTGATCTGGACTGTAGAGACAGGTATGTTGTGTGATCTGGACTCTAGAGACAGGTATGTTGTGTGATCTGGACCGTAGAGACTGGTATGATATGTGATCTGGATCGTAGAGACAGGTATGTTGTGTGATCTGGACTGTAGAGACAGGGATGTTGTGTGATCTGGACCGTAGAGACAGGTATGTTGTGTGATCTGGACCGTAGAGACTGGTATGATATGTGATTTGGACTGTAGAGACAGGGATGTTGTGTGATCTGGACCGTAGAGACTGGTATGATATGTGATCTGGATCGTAGAGACAGGGATGTTGTGTGATCTGGACTGTAGAGACAGGGATGTTGTGTGATCTGGACTGTAGAGACAGGGGTGTTGTGTGATCTGGACTATAGAGACAGGTATGTTGTGTGATCTGGACTGTAGAGACAGGTATGTTGTGTGATCTGGACTGTAGAAACAGGTATGTTGTGTGATCTGGACTGTAGAGAAAGGTATGTTGTCTGATCTGGACTGTAGAGAAAGGTATGTTGTCTGATCTGGACCGTAGAGACAGGTATGTTGTGTGATCTGGACCGTAGAGACAGGTATGTTGTGTGATCTGGACCATAGAGACAGGTATGTTTAGTGATCTGGACCGTAGAGACAGGTATGTTGTGTGATCTGGACTGTAAAGTCAGGTATGTTGTGTGATCTGGACCGTAGAGACTGGTATGATATGTGATCTGGATCGTAGAGACAGGTATGTTGTGTGATCTGGACTGTAGAGACAGGTATGTTGTGTGATCTGGACCGTAGAGACAGGTATGTTGTGTGATCTGGACTGTAGAGACAGGTATGTTGTGTGATCTGGACTGTAGAGACAGGTATGTTGTGTGATCTGGACTGTAGAGACAGGTATGTTGTGTGATCTGGACTGTAGAGACAGGTATGTTGTGTGATCTGGACTGTAGAGACAGGTATGTTGTGTGATCTGGACTGTAGAGACAGGTATGTTGTGTGATCTGGACTGTAGAGACAGGTATGTTGTGTGATCTGGACTGTAGAGACAGGTATGTTGTGTGATCTGGACTGTAGAGACAGGTATGTTGTGTGATCTGGACTGTAGAGACAGGTATGTTGTGTGATCTGGACTGTAGAGACAGGTATGTTGTGTGATCTGGACTGTAGAGACAGGTATGTTGTGTGATCTGGACTGTAGAGACAGGTATGTTGTGTGATCTGGACTGTAGAGACAGGTATGTTGTGTGATCTGGACTGTAGAGACAGGTATGTTGTGTGATCTGGACTGTAGAGACAGGTATGTTGTGTGATCTGGACTGTAGAGACAGGTATGTTGTGTGATCTGGACTGTAGAGACAGGTATGTTGTGTGATCTGGACTGTAGAGACAGGTATGTTGTGTGATCTGGACTGTAGAGACAGGTATGTTGTGTGATCTGGACTGTAGAGACAGGTATGTTGTGTGATCTGGACTGTAGAGACAGGTATGTTGTGTGATCTGGACTGTAGAGACAGGTATGTTGTGTGATCTGGACTGTAGAGACAGGTATGTTGTGTGATCTGGACTGTAGAGACAGGTATGTTGTGTGATCTGGACTGTAGAGACAGGTATGTTGTGTGATCTGGACTGTAGAGACAGGTATGTTGTGTGATCTGGACTGTAGAGACAGGTATGTTGTGTGATCTGGACTGTAGAGACAGGTATGTTGTGTGATCTGGACTGTAGAGACAGGTATGTTGTGTGATCTGGACTGTAGAGACAGGTATGTTGTGTGATCTGGACTGTAGAGACAGGTATGTTGTGTGATCTGGACTGTAGAGACAGGTATGTTGTGTGATCTGGACTGTAGAGACAGGTATGTTGTGTGATCTGGACTGTAGAGACAGGTATGTTGTGTGATCTGGACTGTAGAGACAGGTATGTTGTGTGATCTGGACTGTAGAGACAGGTATGTTGTGTGATCTGGACTGTAGAGACAGGTATGTTGTGTGATCTGGACCGTAGAGACAGGTATGTTGTGTGATCTGGACTGTAGAGACAGGTATGTTGTGTGATCTGGACTGTAGAGACAGGTATGTTGTGTGATCTGGACTGTAGAGACAGGTATGTTGTGTGATCTGGACTGTAGAGACAGGTATGTTGTGTGATCTGGACTGTAGAGACAGGTATGTTGTGTGATCTGGACTGTAGAGACAGGTATGTTGTGTGATCTGGACTGTAGAGACAGGTATGTTGTGTGATCTGGACTGTAGAGACAGGTATGTTGTGTGATCTGGACTGTAGAGACAGGTATGTTGTGTGATCTGGACTGTAGAGACAGGTATGTTGTGTGATCTGGACTGTAGAGACAGGTATGTTGTGTGATCTGGACTGTAGAGACAGGTATGTTGTGTGATCTGGACTGTAGAGACAGGTATGTTGTGTGATCTGGACTGTAGAGACAGGTATGTTGTGTGATCTGGACTGTAGAGACAGGTATGTTGTGTGATCTGGACTGTAGAGACAGGTATGTTGTGTGATCTGGACTGTAGAGACAGGTATGTTGTGTGATCTGGACTGTAGAGACAGGTATGTTGTGTGATCTGGACTGTAGAGACAGGTATGTTGTGTGATCTGGACTGTAGAGACAGGTATGTTGTGTGATCTGGACTGTAGAGACAGGTATGTTGTGTGATCTGGACTGTAGAGACAGGTATGTTGTGTGATCTGGACTGTAGAGACAGGTATGTTGTGTGATCTGGACTGTAGAGACAGGTATGTTGTGTGATCTGGACTGTAGAGACAGGTATGTTGTGTGATCTGGACTGTAGAGACAGGTATGTTGTGTGATCTGGACTGTAGAGACAGGTATGTTGTGTGATCTGGACTGTAGAGACAGGTATGTTGTGTGATCTGGACTGTAGAGACAGGTATGTTGTGTGATCTGGACTGTAGAGACAGGTATGTTGTGTGATCTGGACTGTAGAGACAGGTATGTTGTGTGATCTGGACTGTAGAGACAGGTATGTTGTGTGATCTGGACTGTAGAGACAGGTATGTTGTGTGATCTGGACTGTAGAGACAGGTATGTTGTGTGATCTGGACTGTAGAGACAGGTATGTTGTGTGATCTGGACTGTAGAGACAGGTATGTTGTGTGATCTGGACTATAGAGACAGGTATGTTGTGTGATCTGGACCGTAGAGACAGGTATGTTGTGTGATCTGGACCGTAGAGACAGGTATGTTGTGTGACAAAAAAGCAAAAAGATTGACTTATTGAACAGTTGCTAGAATTACTTGGTTCTGTTTAAATATGCTGGTTCTTAATATGTATAATAGCAATGTATATTTACCTGTTGACAGTTTTCTGTTTGCCTGACACTCACACTTGATTAATTGTTAGGATAATGTCTCAATAAAAAAAAATTCTATACACAGAATTTTGTTGAAATCTTGAGGTTGATAACTTTCATGAAAAGACATTGAATTTCCCTTTACTTTAGAAATTATATATTACAGAATCCATGTTGCCTGGTTGCAGTCAGGACACATTCCTGATTACACCCTCTAGTGGCCAGCTAGAGGCACACATCACCCATATCAGTGACAGCAAGACTCTCCTCCATGTTTTCTTCACTGCAAAGTAAGTAATGGCAGCTGCACATTCACCTGTAATTTCCTCTACAAATATTTCAGAATCAATTTAACGTAGCTAGATTTATAAATTCACACTGCACCTTCCCTCAAATGGAATGGAATAAGAAGCAAATTGTAACCAGTATTAGTGAATATTAGGGATAATAGCGATAGGATGCATCACCCCTGTGTGATATAGACAAAGGAAGATCAGTTAAATAGCCAAGTGTTGTAGTCCAGAATGAGGCTGTGTCGAGTTGTTGACATCAAAGATTCTATCCAGAGGCTTGATATTTCCTTGTCTTCATCACACAGGGGTTTGTAGTAACTATTTCCTCTCACACTGTTTATATACCTCGGGCCTCTACTGTTATACTAACTGGCACCTCTGAATCCTAAGTTGATCCTGGCGATGCTAATACCTACCTAAAAATGGAATGAACCTGATAAATGTGTGGGAATAGTCTTACCCGTAATCATATGCCCATGTTGATATGTGATTATTTCTGGTATCTATTGTAAGTAGGGATTATAAACCTATCTTTAATATTTCTATTTTGTTTAATTGCAGACATGCAGAATACTATGAGGCTATGTTTGTTTTCAAAGGCGTGCTGGGAGAAACGCCCCAGAGACTGGCCATCAAGGGTCAAGGATCGTATGATGGCCGTTTTGAGGCCATTCTTAACGTATGATTTAGCCTGTGCTATTATTGATAGGATGTACTGTGATACAAGATGACTTTGACGTTGTTTTTTGATAACTTTGATTTTCATGAATTGACATTATTCATGTTAAGTTTTGGTTTAAATGTGAGAAGTAGAATTTTATTCACATCCGTCCAAAATATTTTATACCTTTTTTGACATACAAGATATTTAAAAAGCGTTTTCAGCATCTATGGATGACCTTGTGCATTTGACACTCTTTTGTCGCTTGAAATTAACTACTGGAAATCACTTGATAGGATAGCTATCAGGAATTACTGGAAATCACTTGATAGGATAGCTATCAGGAATTACTGGAAATCACTTGATAGGATAGCTATCAGGAATCACTGGAAATCACTTGATAGGATAGCTATCAGGAATTACTGGAAATCACTTGATAGGATAGCTATCAGGAATTACTGGAAATCTTCATTATTAATTCCATAGATATTAACTATAAATATTGAAATAGCATCCTCCACTGTGAATTAAAGTATAGTGAATAAGACCTACAGGTATAGGTCGCAGAATATTTTAAAAATAAAGTGATTAACAGTGTAGAAGAGAGCTGATCTCACCCATATATGTTCATCAGTCGAATGGTCTCTCATCATATCCTATTTTGTTTTCCCCATTTTATGTTGACCAATTTCAGGTGATTGGATGAACTATAAGAGTATTTTGTTTGTATGCTTTCCAATAAAGCAACATTACTAAATTTGTTTTTATTATATTTTACTTTTAATCAATATGGACAAAGTGCTTGAATGTTGAGGGATGAGTATCCTTACATATATTAGAAAATAAAACAAAAAACAGGCGAGTGATTCGGGCCCATTGTACCTTGTTTTTGACATGTTTTTATAAGACGATATAGTTGTCCAGTTGTCAGTTTCAATAGATAGTGCTGATGTGATTGATTGCCACAACTAACATCACCAAATATAACACACACCAATAAAAGCCACAAACCACATACCACAAACCACCACAAACCAGACACTACTACATAGTCATGCCACACACACCACAACCTCGACCACATACCATGCATGACACACACCACCACAAACCAGACACTACCACATACCAATGCATATAACACACACCACCACAAACCAGACACTACCACATAGCCATGCCAAACACACCACAAACTCGACCACAAACCAGACACCACCACATAGTCATGCCACACACCCCACAACCTCGACCACATACCATGCATGCCACAGACCACCACAAACCAGACACTACCACATACCAATGCATACCACACACCACCACAAACCAGACACTACCACATATCCATGCCACACACACCACAAACTCGACCACAAACCAGACAAAACCACATAGCCATGCCACACACACCACAAACTCGACCACAAACAAGACACAACCACATAGCCATGCCACACACACACCACAACCACGACTACATACCAATGCATACCACACACCACCACAAACCAGACACAACCACATAGCCATGCCACCCACACACCACAACCTCGACCACATACCAATGCATACCACACACCACAACAACAACCCAGACACTACCACATAGTTATGCCACACACACCACAACCTCGACCACACACCATGCATGCCACACACCACCCCAAACCAGACACTACCACATACCAATGCATATACCACACACCACCACACACCAGACACTACCACATAGCCATGCCACACACACCACAACCTCGACCACAAACCATGCATGCCACACACCACCACAAACCAGACACTACCACATATCCATGCCACACACACCACAAACTCGACCACAAACCAGACAAAACCACATAGCCATGCCACACACACCACAAACTCGACCACAAACCAGACACTACCACATAGTCATGCCACCCACACCACAACCTCGACCACATACCATGCATGCCACACCCCACCACAAACCAGACACTACCACATACCAATGCATATACCACACCCCACCACAAACCAGACACTACCACATACCAATGCATATACCACACCCCACCACAAACCAGACACTACCACATAGCCATGCCACACACACTACAAACTCGACCACAAACCAGACACAACCACATAGCCATGCCACACACACACCACACCCTCGACCACATACCATGCATGCCACACACCACCACACACCAGACACTACCACATAGCCATGCCACACACACCACAACCTCGACCACAAACCATGCATGCCACACACCACCACAAACCAGACCCTACCACATACCAATGCATATACCACACCCCCCCACAAACCAGACACTACCACATAGCCATGCCACACACACCACAAACTCGACCACAAACAAGACACAACCACATAGCCATGCCACACACACACCCCAACCTCGACTACATACCAATGCATACCACACACCACCACAAACCAGACACTACCACATATCCATGCCACACACACCACAAACTCGACCACAAACCAGACACAACCACATAGTCATGCCACACACACCACAACCTCGACCACAAACCAGACACTACTACATACCAATGCATACCACACACCACCACAAACCAGACACAACCACATAGCCATGCCACACACACACCACAACCACGACTACATACCAATGCATACCACACACCACCACAACCCAGACACTACCACATAGTCATGCCACACACACAACAACCTCGACTACATACCAATGCATACCACACACCCCCACAAACCAGACACTACCACATAGTCATGCCACACACACAACAACCTCGACTACATACCAATGCATACCACACACCCCCACAAACCAGACACTACCACATAGTCATGCCACACACACCACAACCACGACCACATACCAATGCATACCACACACCACAACAACAAACCAGACACTACCACATAGTTATGCCACACACACCACAACCTCGACCACATACCACACACCACATCATAGTCATGCCACACTACCACAAACTTGACCACATACCACACACCACAACAATCGAGACACTGCCACATAGTCATGCATCACAAACTCGACCACATACCAATGCATACCACACACCAAAACAAACCAGACACTACCACATAGTTATGCCACGCACACCACAACCTTGACCACATACCACACACAACCACAAACCAGACACTACCACATAGTTATGCCACACACACACCACAACCTGGACCACATACCAATGCATACCACACACCACATAGTCATGCCACACACACCACAACCTCGACCACACACCACCACAAACTAGACACTACCACATAGTCATGCCACACAAACCACAAACTTGACCACATCCCAATACATACCACACCCCAAAACAAACCAGACAGTACCACATAGTCATGCCACACACACCACAAACTCAACCACATACCAATGCATACCACACACCACAACAAACCAGACACTACCACAGAGTCATGCATCACAAACCACAAACTTGACCACATACCAATACATACCACACACCAAAACAAACCAGACACTACCACATAGTCATGCCACACACACCACAAACTCAACCACATACCAATGCATACCACACACCACATAGTTATGCCACACACACCACAACCTCGACCACACACCTCACACCACTACAAACTAGACACTACCACAAAGTCATGCCACACACACCACAACCTCGACCATATACCAAAGCATACCACACACCAAAACAAACCAGACACTACCACAGAGTCATGCATCACAAACCACAAACTCGCCCACATACCAATACATACCACACACCACAATAAACCAGACACTACCACCTAGTCATGCCACACACACCACAAACTCGACCACATCCCAATGCATACCACATACCACAATAAACCAGACACTACCACAAAGTCATGCCACACACACCACAAACTCGACCACATACCAATGCATACCACATACCAATGCATACCACATACCACAATAAACCACAACAAACCAGACGCTATCACATAGTCATGCCACACAAACCACAAACTCGACCATATACCAATACATACCACACACCACTACAAACCAGACACTACCACATAGTAATGCCACACACACCACAACCTCAACGACATACCAATGCATGCCACACACCACAACAAACCAGACATTACCACAGTCATGCCACACCTACCACAACCTCCACCACATACCAAAACCCATAAAATACCATATTATCATTCCATACACCAATACAAACACACTTACCACATACCATCACACATACCACACACCAATACAAACACACTTACCACAAACCATCACACATACCACACACCAATACAATCACACTTACCACATACCATCACACATACCACACACCAATACAAACACACTTACCACATACCAACACACATACCACACACCAATACAAACACTTACCACATACCATCACACATACCACACACCAATACAAACACTTACCACATACCATCACACATACCACACACCAATACAAACACTTACCACATACCACACACCAATACAAACACACTTACCACATACCATCATACATACCACACACCAATACAATCACACTTACCACATACCATCACACATACCACATACCATCACACACCAATACAAACACACATACCATCACACATACCACACACCAATACAATCATACTTACCACATACCACACACCAATATAATCACACTTACCACATACCATCACACGGTATGACATAAGCTCACCTTGATCCTTCGGCCACGTTGTGGAACAGCTTACCATCTGCTATTAGAAGGTCAAATAATTCAGGATAAACATCAAAACTCACCTCTTCATGTCTGCATTTTTGGTTCTTTGCAAAGACGTCATGTAAATACCACCCTTTGTTTATTCATTTATGTGCACATTGCGATGATTATCTGCTTGCTTAATGTATAAAACCGATAGTTAGCCTTTGTTTTTTGTTTCACAATTATAACTACTTTTATATATTGTATATTATTTATTATTATTAGAGAATTAACACATATGCTACCACTTCTTTTGATGGCAGTACCTGTATTTATCTATTTATCCATTATTCATATGCTTTTAAATCCACTAAGTATCCTAAACATAGAGACGTTTTCAAAAGACAATTTGCCGAGATATACGGTATATAAAATAATATGCAAGTCATATCTAACAAAGGACACCTCCTTTGGCCAAAGAAACAAAGGACACGGATTTTTACACAACATGAACTTACTAAAGCAGATGTGAAATCATTGCTCTGGAAATCATTTCCTTTTTTTATTATAAAGTTTAACAATATCTACTTGTAACAGGAACCGTTACACCATAAGGTGCCGACGCTAACCAAGTAGTCCCAAGTGACGGATCAGAAAATTATCGCAATGCCATAATACTAGGGTTGTCAAACCGGTCTTATTTTTGTCACCGGTTACTCTTCTACCGATCGAGCAACTGGTTAATCGGTCAATTTGGTAGTCAAATAATAAACAGCAACAAATACATTATATGTTTGGAAAATGTTCTATCTAAAACGTATTTACACCACAAACATACATGTATATATTGATCAGCATGATAGTTTACTCGTGTATTTCGAGGTTTACACGGGAAATAGTTGCATGTTACCTCAGTAATTATATGTCATGGACAACGGATGTCGGATTGCAGTAAGACGGATTCAATTACAGTTATCTGTACTCGAAATCATATGCGGTAATATTATTCTTTAGAACAAAATTTGCTTGACAAACGTTTTAAGACATGCTTGCTTATTTAAGTGTGTACTGTTCTGATTATTTTTACATCTCGCATGTAAAGGCGCG